GGTCTTCTGTTTCTATGGATTTCATCACGATTCTTTCGATCTTAGATTTTTATGACTCTATATTCGTGATAGTAGATCGTTTTATCAAGATGGTACATTTTGTATCATATACAAAATCTATCACATGTGAAGAAATAGCTAAATTCTTTCTTGACAACATCTATCATTATTATGGATTATCTAAGGATATTATATTAGATAGAGGAACTCAGTTTGTATTAAGATTTTGGTGGACTCTTTTCAAGATTCTACAAGTAGATGTAAAACTATTGTTAATATTATATCTTCAAATTGATGGACAAACGGAGCGAGTTAATCAAGTTTAGGAGTAGTACTTTAGTTGTACCATCAACTATCAACAAGATGATTGGACAACTCTTTTGCCATTAGCAGAATTTACTTATAATAATACAGTACATTCTTCTACAAAACAAACACCTTTCTTTGTCAATTATGGTTATCATCCATGACTTGATACTTTTGACTTTTCAGAAATTGATAATCCTATGGCGAAAGATTTGGCAAATTATTTGTTAGAGCTACATGCAATAATAAAAGCGTAGTTAAAAGAAGTTCAAGAAAAATAAAAGATCTATGTAGATATCTATCAAAAGAAATAATTATCATTCCACGTAAGTGACAAGGTATGGTTACTTTGTCATAATATCAAGATTATTCATCCTTGTGATAAGTTGGACTATCATATGCTTTGACGATTTCTTATTTCTATATAAATCAATCTAATTGCATATCGTTTATATCCACCAGAGTCAATAAAAATTCATCCAATATTCCACGTATCTCTTCTTAAATCATACAAGACAATGGACATACGAAGAAGAAAACAAGTACTACCTCTTCTTATAAAAGTGAACAATAATGAAGAATTTGAAGTAGAAGAAGTCTTAGACTCAAGACGGCGCCAAAATAAGTTGAAATATCTTGTTCATTGGTACCTAGTTATAGACACTACTTTAACTTTATACGTGTCTTTAATTGATTTTTTAGGTTAAAAACGTGGTCAACAAGTTGGCCATGTACCAATTATGTTGATAGCTTAAAAAACAAGTTAACTATATAGCCCACACATAGAAAACTTACCTTGTAAATTAAAGCATGTATCCTGCAAAGTCAATACATATCAGAGATCCTATAGAACATTGCCATGTAGCTCTTACTTAGATAGTATATATAGAGGCAAGAGTCAAGCCTTCTTAATTCTTGTCAACTCGTTTCTTACTTTTAGTCTAGTTTCAAGAGTCTCAAATTTTCTTGTCTTTTGGCAATAAGCTATTCCAATTTTTTTTTAATATACGTACTTTTTTATTTTTATTTTGTCACTTTTTCTTTGATATGGATTTCATTAGTTTATGCATCATCTTCTAATTCATGTTCTTGACAATAGCTCCTTTCTTTTTACCACAGACAAAACAAAGATCAATTTGCACAACTACCAATTTGGAATGTATAGAATCATCAATAAGAAGATGAAAAAGAATGCAATTCTTTTAATTCTCTTGACATTCTTGTCTATCTTTGTCTTCAAGCAATAAAATACTACTAAGCAATATATCTTTTATATGTAGAATTATATGCCATGCCTTAATATCAAGTATTATAGGTACTTTACATTGTAAATATACATAGATTATCTTATAGAATCTTTCAACTAAGGTTGATAAGCTCTGCTATGAATGTAAGTATATTTTAAAGTATCACAATATTAAATAATAGATAAGTTTTCCACAATCATAAGTATGGCTTTCTTAAAGAACTCTGATTAGTCTTATAGAAATTGATCCTAAATATCAAAGTCATCTAAGTCAACTATTAGAACTAGTTTCTTGTGAATTCAATTTAGTAGGATTCTACCATTATTAATATATATTTAGTTCTACTTGGAGTGAAAATAAGTGGTCAAAGAAAGTCCAAAGATCAATAGTAGCTTAAATCCATGATAGATAAAGATCTTAATTGACGTAATAAGATGTTAAAGCTTCATCTAATTTAATCACATACTTCTTATCAATAAATATATGTGGCTACTTATTGATATATACTAGTCCATTAATATTAGTTGTACAACATTTAATATGTCTTGCACATTCCAAAATATTAAAATTCTTTAATTTGGCCTTTGAATTATGCACCTAGTTCTATAATGCTACACACAAAATAACAAATTGTTCTTTCAACAAAACCTTATTATTTGGTGATTAATCATATATCTTTCTACAGTAGCAATAGCCAAAAGAAATATCCTTTGTTAAAAATTATGCAAGATTATAAGGTCCTCTCACACATCATTAATTACTTGAATCTTATCAAATTCCTCATTTGAGCTTTAATTAGGCACCATAGTCATAGAGTTTGATATCAAAGTCTAGTATGTGATTATATGTCATCCAAAAACTGCCTCTCTATTGCAATTTCTATATCATCAATCTCCAATTAAATCTTCTTTTAAAAGATTTGGATTAACACTTGGATTATAGTATTATATTTTTGTATATAATAATCTTTCTTTATAAAATAATATTAATAATTTTTTTAATTAATTATTAAATAATTTAATTTATATATTTTTATTATTTTTTGAAATTACTTCATTTTTATTTTTATTTTTATAATATATTAAATAATGGTTATAATACCTTATTTAATATTTAAAATATCTTTCTTATCTTTCATCTATATATAAAGTATTAGAATCTACTTTGTATTAAAAAATGCTCAAAGATTATACATAGTTTGGATATACTATCTTGACAAATTATACTACTAAATTAAGTTATTGAAGTAGTTGTTAAAAACCATTAGATGGATAGAAAAAATTAATATTTTCATTATTTTAATTATAATGGTTTTTATTTTTTCTTATGTCTTAATATTTTCAATTTTTTTGCAAGATTATTTTTTTCAAATTAATTTTATGAACCAAAGACATAAAAACACCCGTATTTTGAAGCAAGTTTATTTAGCTATAAAAAATAAATATTATAATATTATAAAGAAGTTTTATTTATCAACAGAAGTATACTCTTTCAATCATGTACATTTGAATAAATTCTTTCTACATTAAAAGTAGTTTATTTCTTGGAATTTATCATTTTATTTGAATAGTTAAAGACAAAGATGATATTGTATCAATTTATATTTTTTTCTTTTTTCTTTTTTACTTTATACTTCAACTTTAGAATTTTCATCAGGTAAGTTATATCTATTTGTCAAAATTGGAATATTATAACAAAGGATTTAGGAATTATATTTTTCTAGTAATTTTAAATTATTTTTTAAAAACGAATAATAATAATAATAATAATAATAATAATAATAATAATTCACACATACATTGATATTCTTACATATAGACAAGCATTAAAAAAAAATACATGGTATAATTGATAATTTTACATTAAATATGATCAATTTTTTTATGATTGGTGACTAAAGTTACATCTATGGTAATTATATTATAATTTTCTTATTAAAAAAAATTCTAAATAAAATAGTGTCTTAATGTTAGTAATAAATAATATATTTTATTTGATACAATTTCCTTAATTTTGATGCTTTCACCATTTTTTATGTCCTTTTAATACAAATTCTATTATATAAGTTTGTGTATATTTTAAATATTTTCTTTAAAAAAAATAAAAATAAGCAGCAAAGAATGGAATGTAAAACAAAACTAGACAAGCATTGGAATTTTGTCTCAAGTTTGAATTGCAAAAGTTGAGCAGAATTGCCTCTAATAATTAGGTTCTTTCTCTGTCTTTTTTATATTCTTATCTTAGTTTAAGACTCTCTAGTTATGTGTATATAATAACAATTTTCTTTTTCTTTTTCTTTTCTTATAGATATATTTACATTGGTTGCATATAATTATAATTTTTTAATAAGTCTGTTTAAAATTTATTCTTGAAACTCAAATGTTTACACGAAATTTCACTATTTTGGTATTTGACATGTCAATCAAGAAATTTTTGTAGTCTTTCAAGTTTAAAAATACATATTTAAAAACTCAACTTTGCACTTACTATGAACATGTTGATATGTCAAACATCCTACCCACATGTTTTAACATTCAATTTTTACTACCTATCATTGATAATAGTAAACACAGAACCTACGAATGTGAATTTTCCACATCAGATTCTTGATATACATGTTTCATTGTGAAGTTTCAAGTGATATCTGTTCCCAAACTGCAGTCCCTATGCAGGTTTGATGTGGATGGGTAAATGGTGAAAAAACACAAACAATTCACAGATTTATCAGTTAACGCCAATTCTTGATGAGCAAAGTTTCCAAAATCACAGTATTTTATCATTAAAAATTCAACCACCCATCTGGAAACATCATTCATATCTAACTCAAAATATCAAAACTAGATTCAAGGTCTTGTGCGAGAGAATGCTCGTTTTTGATGATGAGGCGGTGACCCAACTATTAGGGAATGAGATCAAAACCCTAAAATTAGGAGGGCTCAGTGAAGTATGGAAGTGTGCATCGTCAGGACTGATTTTTTCACAACTAACCCACATAGAAAAGTTCGAGCGTAACCAGGCGATGATTTCAGGAGGAAACTGCACCGGCGGTACTGTTCACGCGTGGGCGGTTCTATGGGGAACCGTCGAGGCTCCACGTAGGCCAGCGACGGAGCGGGCGGTGGTGTCACTAGGACGACGGTTCTGCGCGGAACCAGTCGCCGCGGCAGCGGCTCGTGGGGTGCAAAGCCGAATGAGCAGATGCCAGCGCGCGAGGCTCGAATTCCTCGTCCAATCTACAATCCCAGTCACGCACACACCTTCATATCCAGACATAAACAATCTTAGATCATCGTTCCAAAAGCGTCTGGATCGGCCATCCTCGTGGTCACCCACTCGTATACTGTTGCGTAAATATTTATGTAAATAATGTTGCGCTCGTCGGGATTTGCTAGGATCTGGAACGTGTTGAGAGATTTGTGGGCGGGGCGTTGTGTTTCTTTCGGTTAAGGAATTGAAGGTTTCGAGAACAGAGGTTTTGCTACAAAGGTTGGAATTGAGAAGAAAAACGAGAGAGAGAAAGAGAAGGGAGTCGAGGCGAGGCGGGGCGAAGAAAGGGGAGGTTGCTTGCTTGCTTGCTTGAACAGGAGTCATTGTCCACCAGCAGTTGTTGGTTATAGTTTCGTTCTGTACGCAATTGTTCAGGTACTGTGGGTGCCTTCTGAGACGTTTATTTGAGTTGGGCTTTGCTGAAATTTGTGTTTGGATCTTGGTGGGGGTTAATTTGAGGAAGTGGAGCAGCGCTTCATGGAGGTGGACTGCCGATTGTCTCGTTTTGCTGTATACTTGTTCGATTGGCACCAATTTTGGAGATTTCCTTTTTTCTTTTTTCATGGAGAGTGACGTCGACAGTGGTGGAATGTCACTTTTGAGGAGTGCGTTTAGAGTGGGGTTTGGTGGAGCTTGGAAATGAACGAGATGCGGTGTTTGAGAGAATATTTTGTGCGGTAACCATAAATTTTGCTGTATATTTTCCGACCAGCAATATAGACTTTCACGTTGGTGGACAGTGCCGTTTCTTGCATAATCCTGGTTGGTCGGTTTTGATGATGAACACGCCATGAACCACCCTAATTTCCAGACCACATACAGACACACACGTTAAGTCCCTTCTTGGTTATGGACGGTCTTACATGTGCTTCCTTGAAAACATCACGTAAGTATGTTTTGCTATTTTTATCTGACTTGATTTTGTAGGTGTTGCGTGCAGTTAGTTGTTTTGGACGCTTGTCAATCATGGTGGCACATGCAGCGGTTGCCATAGCACTCACATCAATCGCCAGCTCTAGCTCTGCTTGTTTAGCAGGGTTTGAAAATCGCCGTGCAAGGTTGGGGAATGCGAGGTTAGTTTACTGAATTAAGCACCATTCATTCTGAACTTACAGTGGTTGAGTCAAGGGGTGAACACGTTTCTGACTTTCCTAGCTATCAGCAAGAGCCGTGTGATGTCATGCCCTGAATTTCTGCTCTAGAGGGTATGCTCTGAAGCAACATGAGTAGTACTACGCATTTAACCTTGAGGTCCTATGTTTATTGATATTCTTCAGGAATAATCTCAATTCATTCTTGGATTATGATTCGTATGTAAAGGTTTTTATCGGAGTACGGTGGAAGTTTTGGTAGTCTGTATATATCTTTGTTTGATTGGTGATTGAGCTGCACGAGTTTGTCTCGACTTTTGTAAACCAGGGTTTTCCAAGAATAGATGGTTATGTTGGATTCTCCTGCACGTACTGTCTAAGTGGTTAACATTTGTTGCTCAATGTCTTTGGCTTACATGAACTTGGGGGTGAACAGGGCAGTTGCAGATACCGTGAAGCGCTCTAGTGGTGGTAATGTGGACTCAGGAAAATGGAGACAGAATCAGGTGCGGACGCTTGCGCTTCCAGATATTTAATGTGATTTCAAAGAGGATATGATAAAATTGGAGCATTCTGCAGCGACTTACTGTTCAGAGGGGATCAGGAGTTGTTTCTAGGCACGTTTTAGTCTACTAAAGACTTTCATTTGTCTCGATAGCGTTGGTGCTTGATTAAGTCGGAATAGGTTAGACATTTTGAACCATAGGGATTCAGATTACGATATCTACGTATTCAATTGGGTTACCTGCGGAATGCTGACATCTTTTTACTACACATTGGGTTTATAGTCAAAAGAAGCTACCGGGATCGTCTAAGTGATGACAGAACGTGAGCCAGTAATGAAGGGTTATTCATTATTCCGTTGTGATTTGTGAGCAGAATGTTTCTGCTGGTACACTCAGCTTGGCGTCTCCTCCCCTCCTGTCATGTGTTGAGCAAACGGGTGGCTCTGCTTCAGCTTTTCTGGAGGAGCAAGAGGTTGTTATGTCCTCAGGGATGAAGGAGATTGAGGAGAAATTGAAATTATTATTGACAGTTCAGACCAAATTAGAGGAAAGCGTCACACCTCCTTCGAGGCAGAAGCAGGAGAGCTCAGGAAAGGATGATTTTTATGTGAACTGTGGTGCTGCTATACGCAATCTTAGAGAGGAGCTTCCTGCCTTGTTCTACAAAGATCTCAACTATGACATTTACAGGTACACTTTTATCACATGCTTCGATTTAATTTACACGAATATCTTTAGCTTTATTGTCAAATTCGTGCCTTCGCCCCGTGTTTGTGTCCGTCATGTGTTTTACTTCGCCTTTCCTTTCAGAAAGTTAAGAAGATTGTTTTGCACGGAGGCGAACTCTAGCTAGTGATGTCATTGTTGATCGTGCTTGGTTTCAAAATTGGATCCAGTTCCTTATGGCAGTTCTGCAATTGTGCCGTTTGGAATCAGATTTATGATCAAATTTATAAATAATATTATGTTGTTTTCGTAGGGAGGACATCACATTTAGTGACCCCATGAACACATTTTCGGGAATAGAGAACTATAAAACCTTGTTCTGGGCACTTCGGTTCCATGGCCGCATCTTTTTCAAAGCTTTGTGGGTTGAAATAGTTCGAGTGTGGCAACCTTCTGAAAAGGTAATCATGGTCCGGTGGATAGTTCGGGGCATTCCACGAGTCCCTTGGGAAGCTCAAGGTCGGTTTGATGGAACCTCTGAGTACAAGTTAGATAAAGATGGAAAAATCTACTCTCACAAGGTTGATAACATCATAATGAACTCGCCTCCAAAACATCAAACCCGATCGGTGATGGACTTGGTACGAGCTGCTGCAGGACAAGGTACCCCGACACCGACTTATTATCAGAAAGTCGGAGTATTTTCTTTCTTAAAGCAGTTTACATGGGTGCGCTTTTACCTAGCTTTGAGGAGTACTCTTGCTGTCACTTCCTCGAGTGAAGCAATTGATGTCCTACCTAATGCCAGTCTCAATCCTTAAGTTGCTAATTGTAACTATACAATCTGAGAAGGTGGGTATCCATTTTCTACCCGTTTTCTGTGTATCATATGGGAAAAGCAGTGGGTTAAAGTGGTGCTTGTACATAGTGATATATATGGTAGAGAGCTGAAGTGTTGCCAGCCCCTCGTACAACGAGCAGTAGCAACCTCCATCCATGTCTCCACCCCACGAAAGACGTATGGTGCCTAACCCTTCTGCAGCTGTTCTACGAGTTTTAACTTTAGAAAATAGTTTGAAGAGGTTTCCACGCTTTGGTTTGGCGAGAGTTTTGGAAGGTAGTAAGCTTCCTGGGTGACTCCGAACTGCTGGACGAGGTGGTGGCTGGCTTACGGCAGTTCATTAGTGCGCAAGCAAGCAGAGACTTGAGCGAGGGGTGGCTATACCCCCTTCCAAAGCGGCCGGTGTAATTCACTTGTGCAAGTGAGGAATTTACTGTAATACTTATAAGGTGATATGATCAGGAGAATCATACTATCCTTTATTTTCGGACTTTTGGAGAAATTGGACTTTTCATGCATGTTCTGGAGCAGCTTGTTCCTCTGTTTTAATTTTAACTATTGAGTGTTTGTTTGAAATGTTACCTTGGCCCCTTGTAATGTATGACGGCTGTCAACTGAAATCTATGTATGTCCATGTCCTAAATTATCTGCATTTGAATGAGCTGTTGGATTTTACATCATTTAAGGTATATCACAATAGTATGAACTTGGTCACTGTATGTTCACCTAAATTTCTTTGCTAAAAATTCACTCAAGCACTTTAGTTTCTTTCAGTATTATAATAGCAATGCATGACTTGAAATATATAGTTCTTAGAGGATGGAACTGCTGACACATTGAGATTAGTTTGCACAAAGTGGTGTGACATCTTTTTAATAGTTTCACACAATTTTATCAAAGATTATATATATATAGATAGATCTAGGGGAATGTCAAATAGACCCACCCTTGATGAAGAATATGGTAATCATGATGAATGTGGTTGGTTTTTATTGGTTGCAGCTCCAACAATGGGGAAATGAAACTAGAGGTTTTTTTTTATTATTATTTTTAATGATGGTTAGGATGGATAGGTCAATTTAGTAAAAACTTGGATCTATTAAACATTCCCCATATATATGTATATATAATTAAGTTAAAAAGAGTTTCAAAATAACAAGCAATTTAAGTTGAGCACTTAAAGTATTTTGTTATGAGGTTAGTATGGTTGGCATGTATGTAAACAATTTAAATAATTCTGGTTCAAAAAAATGCCAATTTAGAAAGCCAATATATTAAATAAAAACTGGTCAAATGAGGAAATTTATAGATTTTTTCCTCTTTCTTTAATAAATAAAAATTGCCTCCAATTCTTACAAAACAAAAGCATATAGATGTATATATATATATATATATATATATATTGAGAGAGAGAGAGACATGTAATTTTGCAATTATTTAAATGACTCTTAAATATAATCTCTAACTACAAAAAAAAAAAAAAAAACAAAAACAAAAACAAAAAAAAAACTAAATTATAATATTAACTAAACAATTAAAGAATTTTTGCTATAGACATATTTCTTTGTTTTATACTTTTAATTAATATCAATTAAGAATTTATAGAATTTAATTAAATTTATAAAATTATTTCATTAAAAAAATCGTATAAAAAAAATCTAATTTACACTTAGAACATATTATAAGTTTTTATTAACTTGGCAATTATAATGAACTATTAATTATTTTATCCAAAGACGAAAAAATTAAATTAATGATTTTTAATATATATTTCTTTAAAATTTCACATATGCCAAGAATGAAAAAAAATAGTGTTATAATTTCTTTTATTTTTTTTGTGACTTTGGTACTCAAGTATGTACATTGTACATATTACCACAACATTTTGTCTTATGTATTAAAAGTATAAATAGATTTATGTGTATATATGTATATATAGGGAAGAACAAATAATAAAATTAAAAATAGTAATAAAAAAAATTTAATAAGTTTTAAAAATAATTATATAATAAAAAAATAATAAACTAACTAATCAAGTTATTTAATCATGAATTTTAAATGATTATATAATCTTTTGATATAATAAGCTATATAATTATAAAACTAACAAATTAAACTAACAAATTCATGAAAACAATACTTGTTATCAAAGCAACACTAAATTCAATTATTAAAACACATCTTCTTTTTTGTAGTGCAATCAAATAAGCAATGACTTATTGCAATCTTTTTTTATATAAAAATATGGAATAAGTTTTAATCTATCCTATCTATTTGAAAAAAAGAATATATAATAATCCAATTATTAAATTTATATAGCAACTAGATGCCAATTATATTAAAATAAAGAATATCTTATATTCTATAATATCTAACAACAATGACAAAGTTCTTATACTTGCTATTAATAAAGAAAGTTTATATGTCATTAACATAGAATTTTAGGTCTCTACAAGACCTACATTTTTTAGACTCTTTCAAGTTATTTAAAACAATTGTTAGAAGTTTCTTATTTTAAGCTTAGAGAGTAAATTTTATTTAAAAAAACCTTCTTTAAACAATTTCATTTAAAAGATTTGTTGATAAGCCTTAACAAAAATGTTTTAAAACAAAAGCTTATTCTAAACTATGATGAAATATACTAGTAGTTTAAACAAGATGTATTTTAGTCTTATAAATTATTTATATATATATATATATATATATATATATGGTTGAAGTTGTTATGAATCTTCTCAATTCTTCTCTTTATTTTAGTTATTTTCTGGTTTTTAATTTATTTTTTGAATGATAACTACTAATATATAAATATAAATTATTATTATTATTATTTAATACTTTTTTACCTTCTTTATATCAAAATTTTTCTTTATGATAAAAATATCTTATATTTTATAATTGACTCTACTTTGCTAATTCTTCTAACTTAATATGTACTCTACTACTCCTTAAAATTATGTAGATTACATATATAAACAATACACTACCTACAATAATAATTATATAAATAATATGTTTAGAAATATATTTCTTTTTAAAAATATTTAAAACCGAGACCAAATCTTTCTTTTTTTTCACCTCCACAAACCTTCCACAAAATGTTTGTCTATAATTAATATGAAATTTGAAAAAAAACCATGAAACTTTTCTACAAAAAAAAGAAAGAAGCTACTTTAAAATGTCATATATATAACATAATATAAACTTTTGTAATTGAAGTAACTAATAGTTCCTATTGCAGATTAGAATAAAAGATTCTTGATGCAATCAAGAAATGAAGAAAATAATAGTAAAGTAATAAGCAAAAAATTACCATAAATTAAAGAAATATAACAAATGACGTTGAAATAACATAAATTTTGGTTATTTTTTTATTTATTTAGTTATTTTTTTATTTTTGTCTCTTGAATATAAAAATATATGTATATATATATATATATATATATATATAGATATTTTTTATTTTTAACTTAATAAATTTTCCTTATTACTATTTGTATTAAAATCTTTCTAAAATATTTTTTAAATATTTTTTTGTCACAAATTTTGAGTTTTTAAAAACAAATCTTGTAGACAAATAAAATCCTCATAATAATAAGTATCATACTTCCAAATTCTAATGTAAAAGGCTTATTATATTTTAGTTGATTATATCTCTAGAATATGAACACCTATAATTTCTATATTTTACATTTTCTAATTGGGTCAACATCCTTCAATAGGTGAAGCCTTCAGTGTCAAGCTATCTCCACATTTTCAATTTCTTTTTTTGCATGCATCTGTAGCAATTCTTACAAAGAGATTTTATGACAATCTTTATTTAGATGGAAGTTTCAAAGACCAAATTATAATAGATGAGAAGAGTTTTAAAAGAAAGAAAAGTTAAAACATAAATTTATTTTATTTTTTAAAATCAGATTTCATATTTATCAAAAAAAAAACTTTGCACTCATAATGCAATCTAAAAATAAATATAAATCACTTTCGTAATCTTATATATATATATATTAGTTTTCAAATAATATAACAAAAAATAAGATTATGCTTTGTCATTCTTTTTTGTTATTTATTTGTAATTTTTTTAGTATGTTTAATATATAATTTTATAACCTAATTATTTTATATATATATATATATATATATATATATATATATTTAAACTAAGCATATTTTTATTTGTATATAAAAAATAGTATTTAGAAAAATTACATCAAATAAATATTTAGCTATTATTTATTGGTAGATTTGACACTTATATGACTCAAAGCATCTTCATGCCAAATTACCTTCTTTGAAAGATTATGGTTCTAAAGTCTTGTAAAGATCTATCACTTGGTATTAAAAAAGAGTATTCAATAAAGATATATTAAGAGACAAAATGTCATAGAAAAGATCAATTTAGTTGCATGTAATATTTTATAATAGAACAATTCACAACATAATTTTTTTAATTGATTAATTTTTGAAAAAAAAAATGTACAAATTTTTGCATTGCTTATGCAATTATAGGATATTATTTTTATATTAAAAACCACCTTCAAAGGCATTTTTTGTACTTGGGACCATATTTAAGAGGCTATAATTTTTATATATATATATATATATATATATATATATGATTGATTAAAATTGATAAGCTTTGCTTACTTGACTTTATATTTTGAAAAAGCAACCAAGAAATTATAAGGAGAAAAGAAGAGATAGATGCATTCTTTTCCTACATTACATAAAAATATTCCTTGGAATTTTTAGTATGCCCTCTTGAAGAGATAGATATTGTTAAAAAAAATAATTTAAAAATGTTCAAAATTGCTCAATATTAATGTAAATTTTTCTTTAGTTTTTGTACATTATACTATTAACATATTCAAGACATTATTTATTGCATTTAAAATCATATCAAAAAAAATATTTGGGCTACATCACGTTCTCTTCCTGCTTGCAATTCTCCAAAAATCAAGGCTATCAAACATAATTTTTTCCTTGTCAAACTTGAGACTTGTATAAAGCTTTTGTACCATTGCCCTCCAGATTTAAGAAACCCCACAAGTAGGGCACAATGCAAATTCGAAGGAACATTGTTATTCACCCCATGTATGAAAATAGTGGAACCCACCAGATCTTTTCCTTCCTTAATGTTGTTTTGTGCTGCTTTTTCTGAATATGCAGCCAACCAGGAAAACTAGCAATTTTTTGATTTCAACCAATTCGAATAAAACTTTGGAAAAGGCAGAGTCTTGTCTTCTCTCCTCCGTGAAAGTTGTGGTTGATCTTTGACGCTGCGGCTGCAGCTACGCCACAACTGGAACAATTCGTCGCGTGTGCATGATTTAGCTAATATCTCATTCGATGCACGCTTCAATTACTTCTCCAGTCTGGTTCCATCGTTATCGATTGTTACAATAATTGGGGCATCGTTTCCAATTCTACCGGAGCTTGCAATCAGAGAACTCTACTGTGAGCTGAAGTTTGCTGGCTCAGATGCCATCTCTCACAACGTCGTTCAGTACGAACCAATCAAGGGATTGTATTGAACTTTGAAGTAGAAAAATTAGATGTACTGCACCAGCATGTGGTTTTCATGCAGTTTTTCTTTCTGTAGTTGAAGTGGGGTTCATGATGAAAGTGTTCTTTGAGAACTGGAATCATTTAAAAAAAACTATATTAGGGGTAGTGTTACCTATATTCACTTCATTATGTGCAGTCTCTTAAGTTTCATCTTGAGCAGAACCAGTAATTGATGCAAACCTGCAAGGTTCTGTCGATTGGAAAATAAAGATACTGATGTGACCCATAAGCTCATATCTGGACGTTAACGTGTTGTCATGATTGAGCCAGAGTTGCAAACTGACGGTTTTCCAGTTGTTGGCTCTTGATGGAAAATGATTTGTCCGAGACCCTTTGCGGGAAACGATGATGATTCGCGTATGCACGTTGCGGTTTCAATGTCTTCACTGACCATGTCCCGCTCGAATGTGTACTTCAGGTTTTATTGTCTCGGAGAAATAAATAATCCCGTCTGTGAGTGGAAGCCTTGCATTGACAGCAGTAGACAGGTACTGTGAAGTGCACGCCTGGTCAAGAATGCTGCACGACGCGGTAAATACTTCTGCACACAAACCGAGACAACCGGAAGTGGACTGTGACGAACCTACGCCAATGGTTTACGTACACTTACTGGAAGATTGAAACGCTGGCTGGGTACAACCTAACCTTGGTGGAAACAAGTATGGAAGATCAGTTGAGAGGATTTTGAAGGATTCATCAATGAGGCAGTAAAAAACCGATATGCTACTGTGCCGAAAGGAATACGTTCTTGAACATTTTTCACATCGTAAGCTTAGACGAATACAAACCCTTATGTATATTTAGTTCCGAGACTCATAGCCCAATTCTCCGAGACAACCTCTTCAGATATGGACCTTATTATATCCACTTCAACTATTGCTTAACTACACATCTTTCGTCATTATCTGATTCAGCCCTCGATCAGCTTCTTGATCTGCTCCAATGACAGGAACAGAACTATGGCGAAGGGGCCTTGACGAGTCACCGTCGGGACAAATCCCTTGTACAGAGCCATGGGACCTTCCGCTCGCACCGTCTTCACAGCACAATCCAAAGCACCTCGATAAGGAGCTCCTTCTCCAGGCGTCACTTTCATGTTCATCACTCTCGTCTTCACGACGTCGATGGGGTTTGAAGCGACGGATGCCAGCACCCCCGCTCCGCAGCTTGCCACCACCTGCGTGGCCAGCCCTTCCGGCACCATGTGGGTCTCAGCAATGGAGTCCTTGATCTGGTCGTAGGTGGCCAACTGAGCGGCGGTCACCAGCATGGCTCGAGTCACAGTCGGAGCCGATCCCGTCCACAATGACATCACGCCGTCTTGTTTCACCATCCGTAACAGAGCATTGCCGACCCCGGTGTAGTTCCTCCTCTCATGCATAGGCAGCCTACCGTCGGCTTGCATCCTGACCATGGCCAAGTCTGCAGGGTTTCCAACAACGGCGCCGGAAGCCCCGGCAATCAATGCAGCGGTCACTTTTTTGTACAGAGGAAGCCCAGAGCCTTCTTGTTTCTCGTCTCTCCACTGATGCTTCAAGAACTCGTAAAGACCCATCCGTGTAGACGAATACATGGCTTGTCTTAACAAAGTGGCGGAGACACCGGAGTAGAGGGCATACACTCCTTCTGCACGAGCCACATTCAAACCGACTCCCAAGGGACCCGGTTTCGGGACACCGAGTACAGCAGGAGCAACATGACTACCTTCGAGCGCGAGGGCGAAACCCGACGTAGCAACCTCCCCTTGTAACTGCATGCGGACCTTGATAAGGTCCAGAGGGTGCGTAGCGAACCCGGCGATCATCGACGCCAAACCACCCTCAGCAAACCCCTTCCACTCCATATCTGAAAACGTCGCAAAGCTCACGACGCGGCAAATACCAATGCCGATCGCGAAGTCGCTCGTCAATCAATCAATGTTGAATTCCCAGGAAAGGGAACAACAGTCGTGCAGCAAACGCACACCAGAAACGAGCAGCAAGTCCACCCCGCGCTCCACACGAACCTCCCGATCGTGAAAACCAGCAACTGCTGCAAGACTGCACGCAGAGCGGCGACGAAGATCGTTTCTGACCATGAAAGGCAACACCTCCTTGAACACCAAACTTCGATCAATACTCCTCCGCCACAGCCTCAATCACCAAGACAACTTCAACCCCAACCCTCCCAAAACATCCTCCGCAAAAAAAAATCTTCCCAACTCCAAAAGAGAAGAAAAGTAAAGAAGCACCCAAACCCGGACTTCACTGCGAGCGGCGCGGTGAGGTCAAGGATAACCGAGTGAACGATGAAAGATACGGAACGAAGGAAGCATTATATAAGACCTCCAAGGCTGGCTGCTGCCCATCACCTTCCGCCGAGAGATGGACCCCATGAGAAGGGCGAATCGTGGGCGAAGAAGCAACGTCCATGAGTGTAGGGTATTATGATTATAATAGGTCGTCGTGGTCGGTCTACAATTTTCAAGGTTAGGGAGACTCTGTCCGTGATGGAGACAGAGAAGAAGAAGAGAGCCAAAGCCGCGTAAACGCATGGAGCGTGCGGGGCCACAGGCTGGCTGGGTGTCTGACCTTTGCGAAAATTCGTTCCAAATCTGGGCAACCGCCGACGAGGAACGTCGACCCAAATTGCTGCTGCTTGTGTTGTTGCTACTGTTGTTGCTACCGTGCTATTTCTTAGCCTCAGGATCGTTCCTTTTGTTTATTTTTATTTCCAGGGGGGGTGCAGAAAGCATCGAGTCTGGGTACATCTGTCCGAGGGGAAGGAATACACTGCGCATCGATCCTGAGTTGGTTTATGTGCGTGTGAGGTGCCAAATCCTCCCTCACGGATCCTGCTCCTCCACCCAGATTCTTTCTCTTGTGGGGGGCCCCGATTTGTATCCGCCAAGTCGCTTTCCCACCCAATACATTCTGTTGCCCTGATACATACACTGTACTGGTTTTTGTGTGTGCAGTGATGAGTGATCTCTCTCGCTCACTAATCTCTTTCTTTCTCTTTCTTTCTCTTTCTTTCACCCTTTCTTTCCAATCAATCAGTGAGTCCCCAAGTGGGTGGGCCTTCCTTATTTCCTTCCTTTCTTTCCTTCTTTCCCTGCAGGAAAGAAGCGCAGCTGTGTGTGTGTGTGTGACCACGTTCGGGCGTTGCTTCCAAGGTGCGTCGCACTCTCGCGTTTCCTTGTCTTCCTCGTTGTCCTTTTCGTCCTCCTCTTCGGGGGAAGTTGGCGCTCGTTGCGATGGTGGCGACGCCGTTGTTTCCCTTCGCGACATGTTCGTGAGTTGTTGCAATTGTTGTTGCTGTTATTGTTATTGGAGATTCTTCGTGTTGTTGTTGTTTGGGTTTTTCCACCAAAACGTGCTTAACGTCGTCCGATGCAACGGAGTCAATCTTTCTTTATTGTGTGTGTACTTCCTTTGCTCTCTTTCTTTCTCCTCCACCACTTCCACTACCATGTTTTGTGGGATTCTATTTTTTATTTTTTATAGGGAACCAAACCAAATATTTAAGTATGGACAATGGTTTATGAAGAGTTTGAACTTTTTGTTTTGAGTTGTGGAGAAGAATGTTCTTAAAGGAATTTTTAAAGTAGTTGTGTATAAAGATATGTTTGTTGAATTATTTGCCAAACTTTTAAAGAAATTTCTATATAGAACCATATATGTATATGCTAATACATTTTTTCAAAAAGTACATTAGCCAAAAAATATTTTTGAAACATTATATAATCTAACAAAGTCCAAAATAGCACATAGACCCTTAAAATTGATGGTCTTATCTAACACTAGGATTTATAATTACTTGAATATCTAAAATAAGCTATTACTTTAATATTAGTTTATGATCAAATAAATATAAATATACATATATATATATTTATATTTATATATAATTTTTTATTCAAAAAAATAATTCATTATTTTTTATTAGATTTTTTTGTCTCTTTAATAAGTACTAAAATGAAAATTATAAAATATATATTTTAACAGTGAAAATTTTATTTTTGAAAATTTTGTAGTATAGAATAGTAATATAATATTTTTTATTCTAAAAATTGTAATGTGTAAGAATTTATTTTTTTTACAAATACAAAGTTAAATTTAGTGCTATTATTTTATTTAAATTAATACAAAAAATTTTGATGACCAAGTTTCTTGATTTTTTAAAGTGGTGTTTCTCTTTTAATAATTGTTACTACAGATTATGTACAGAAATATTTTCTGTTTATACAAAATGGATATATCCATAAAATTTATATTTGTTTAATTTTAGAATCCGTTGCCAATATTTTAGCAAAAATAGACCAAAAACCACCCTTTGTTACAATATTCTTTTTAATTTTTAAACATCAGTTTTTAAAAGTTCCCATATTCTTGGTATTATTCAGACACTACTCGAATGTCCTCGGAGAAGTTTGAATTTTTTTTGAAGATTTTGTGCAATTTTACCAAAAGTTTCAAAACTCTTTGTTGTCTACAATGTATGTTGAAAAAAGTTTTGATTTCTGGGAGGTTATTTTGGTCAAGTTACAACCATCTACATAGAATGTCTTAAAGTGTTTTTTTATTTTTATTTTTATTAGAGATGTAAAACTTTTTGACGTGTTGTAAAACTTAGCAGTAGGGGTCATTTATACACTTCAAAAAGTGCTACGGTGCGACCCAAAAGAATATGTGACATCACCGCTTTAGAAAGTCAAAAGAGTGTGTTTGGATATGTTTTTAAGCTACCTTAGGATTCCAAGAAAAGTAATTTTTGAATGTGTTAGAAAGGATTTTTGAGAGCAAAATAGAACACAAAATAAGTTACCAAAGAACAACATCATTACCTTGTTTGGATTGATTTTAGTAGCTTAGCAGTATGTAAAATTTTGCAGGAAGTCATGCCAGCTTCTGGAGTGTTCATAGTAATAGTACCTTCACCGATTTATTTTCCAGTTGTGCACGATGTATTGCATGTTTAGTAACATGATGTGCTGTCATTAAAAGTAAAATATAATCAATGTGGTTTTGTGGGTGCGCACAAATTTTAAGAATTTGATTCTGCTGTCTACTTGTATGATTGTGCGTCACTTTGACCAATTTGAAATCGACTCAATGATAAAATAAAATGAAATAAAAAAAAAACCCATTTCAGATCATTGCTATCTTCTTATCAATGACGTGCAATTTGTGACAGAATGCAGTACCTTGCAAATTTACGGTTTCGTCAATCACCGTGAAGTTTGGGACATTGCTTTCGCCTTCATTTTTGATCACTTGCTGCGTTGATCTTCAATTCAACCTGTAGCGTATTAGTACCCTACTTTCGATCCAAAGCTTGTTGTCATACAATAAATTTATAGAACACAGGGAGTTGCGGTGTCATCCTGCATGGCTTCCTTCAGTGTTCAGTGTTCTCAAGCATTCTGAAGATCTCAATGTTGTTTATTCAAACATGCTGGAAGTAGTTCCACCACCCTCTTCGCATTTTAATTTAATTTAATTTTTTAGTATTATTCCACACTAGAAGGTCACTTGTGGGCTTTGAAGAGGTGGTTGCAGCCTGTGCCCAGCTATGAAACTGTGGAGCTCATTGTTGTCATGGTGATGGTGAGAGTTTTTCCAGCTTGCTGCAGAAGGATCACAGGAAACATCATAAGTTGGTTGTTGGGTATAATTCTACTCGTCAAGGATTCAAGAAATCGGGGGTATGTGCAACGCTTTATTTAGATAGAAAACATTGGTTTAGTGTCCATGATGAACGTGGTATAAGACGCACACTTTGAACTAGATTTGTCAGCTGTAAGGGTGTCGATGTGCTACGTGTGGAGGACAAAGGACGATCTTGTCCATTGTTTTTTGCATGTTTAACGTGAAAAGCTATGAACTAAAAATGATGATTTACCTGTGAATGTGAGAGAACCATCTCATGAATCAATTTACATTTTTGTTTGAAAAAACAGCAGGTGTGTAGTGTATTCTTACTGTTTTCACAGAAAAGAAGGCATGAAGATTCGACTTCATTGCACGCACAATGGCCGTTGTATCTGTGAAATTGCCCCCTACAAACCTTTAAATAGTGGTTGTAGAGACTCTGTTTCATCATCATAAGGAGCCATTTAAATCAGCAAGTTTGAAATATATTTCCATATTTGATATATGTTCTTATATATATTCTTGTATATTGCAATATTTTGATAGATATACTTGTTTTTTTTGAAGATTTTGGAAACATCCTTGAAAATTTAGGAGTTTTGGAAAATGGACAATTACAAATATTTCTATTTGTTACAAATCAACCCACATGCATGTACAAAGAACACAACTTTGATGCTACAATACACATGTGATGTGACTATAAGGGTTCTCAAGAAACAATAACAATAGATTTGTTGGAATTGAATTTTAGAAAAGTCTCTCATATAATAAAACAAGACCATTTGTTGGTAGCTTCATGGCTTGTTCATAGCATGTTGTTAATTAGCACATTAGCTTGCAACAAATAATATCCTTCATGACCAAGATATTCTAATCATGGCCTTCCAAAAGCGACAAGTTTAAAGACTTTGCAATATTAGAGGTTAGATGGCAAAGTGCATTCCAACAAAAAATAAAGTGGCCTTGTATTGTTGAGGTATGTATTCTTCTAATTAGAACCATGCATTGGCATTTATTTTTTCTATTGCAACAATGCTCTCTTTAAAATTAACTAAGATTTTGGTTTATGATGTTTTCTAAAGAACTTGAATAAGCTAGACATTTTTTAATGCAAGTTTGAGATTCCTAGCAAGATAGTACAAGCAAAAAACATGATAAATTTTTGAATAAACATTATCAATGTCTTTAAGTAGATAATTTTAATGGTTTAAAAACATGAGTCTTGTAAGGCTTGAATATGCAACAATTGTAATGCTCAGATGAACTAAAAACTACCTCTAGTTTGCATTATTTTGTGTATTTATAACGTCAAAATAAATATAGAATAAAAAATCCTATGTATTAATGATAGTGGCATAAAGTAGCATCATTAGATATTTTTTCTTTAAATATATTATATCAATGACAATCAACAAATATAAATAATTGAAGCCATATATAGATGGTCCATAGGCAATAATAAGTAAAGAAAACTAATTACAATTATTTTTTAATATAGTATATGTTTCAAGCATTGTAGTCTCTAGTACTTTGTAACATCAAAAAATTTGATACACAATTTCTTACAAACTAAAAACTTTTAATGTAGCCTCTTCTTATGCTTGCTAGACATGCTTGTATGTCACTATGATACTATACTCAAGCCAATTGTTGTTAACAATTTCTTTTGATAAATATCAAAGAGTGTCACAAAGTTTGTCATTAATTGTCTTTATAACAATTAATATGGATGCAAGTTTGTTATTACTTTATGTGAAACTAAAATATACAATATGGTTTCTTTTGCAATATATCATGTTTTTTAAAAAATTAAAGAATATTTTATATTATTATTTTATATTATTTTTAATCATTTGAATCTTAATTGTTTGTTACAACTTAAGATCACAAAGTTACCATATAATAATTCTAAAAATATTGATGAGCATTTACCTTAATAATTAATATTTTGATTTATAAAATTATTAATATCTTCCAATCTATTTATGTTTTAAAAAAAATTAAGATGTCAATATTTTTAATTTCTATTTAGCCTAATTAATTTCAAAAAAAATTTAAACATATTAAATCTATGAAAAATAAAACATATATATTTTAATTCAATCAAAAATAAAATTAAAGAATTTACTTTTTAAAATTAAAATCCGAAATTTAAAAATATTAATAAACAATAAAAGGCAATGTGAGAGATTAAGATTAGTTACTCTATATATGTTGAACATTTTATTATTGTAATGTAATATCATCTTTTGTCAATTCTATCAAAAAACACGTGTAAAATTAGGATACTTTCTTAAATGCTATATGGTTAGAGCAAATTCTTATCCAAATAGAAAATAGATAGGTAGACTTTAGAAAATCTCACTTCAACTTTTATGCACAATTTAAATTTATCTTAGTATGGAATAAAGTAATAATAATTTTATATAGAGTTTTTTTTTTATAATATTTGTAGTTGATTTTTATTTCAATAAATTATTTTTCATATATTTTTTATCATGTCATAGACATATGCATTAAAACTACTAATTAATAAGATAAGAGGAATTTAAAAAAACTAAATAAAATTAAATAAATTTGATAATATCTTATGGATGAGATTTTAAGATGCTTCACAGATGCAAATTTGTCTTTACAAGTATTTATATGTAATTAATAGATTAAAAACTTGGTTAACAAGTTTGCCACATGTTGTACATATTTTTCACTTGTAGTATAAGTTGGCGAAGTGGTGAATATGTTGAAAACTTGTCTTGCAAGTTAGACACATGTCCCACAAGTTGGACATATATCAAATGATATGTAGAATATTGCCACATATATTCTTAGTTAAGTAGTATATATTGAGGCAAGAGTGAGGCCTTCTTCACTCTTGCCAATGCCTTTCATATTCTTAGCCTTGTTTTAAGAGTTCCTAGTTTTTGTGCTTTTAGCAATAGTAATTTTAGTTTCAATAATTATAACTTACTTTAAGTAAAAAATTACTCTTCACAAGTGACTTAAGAGTGTATTGACTCTTCGGTTGTTTTGTGATTCATGTCCTTGATACATCTTTGCTTATAAGATGTTTTTGCTACTAAAATAGTCAAGAACATTCTTAAATAAATATTTAAAAATGCTTTGTTAAATCAATTTTTTAATATGTAAATTAATAGCTTATTAGAAGAATTCATTATAAAATATTTTTTTATTATTTTTCAAGTGTCAAAATGCTTTTCAACTTTATAACATATTAAAGAAAATTATTAATTTGAAATATTTAATTTGTGATATATTGATACAATGAATATTAAAATAAGTTCTATTTTATTGAAAATCTTTGTTTTTTAATAAGATTAAGAAGCTTAAATAAAATAATATATTTTTTGGTTTTTTATTTTAATTAATTATATAATTTTATTATTTATAGAAAAAATGATATAATTATTTCAATATCTATTTTTGATTTTAAAACTTTAATATTTAGTCTTAAAATTAGAATTATAAATAAAAAATATTTTATTTTAGCTTAAAAAAGAAAAAATAAACTAGAATAAAAAGAATCTATTGTATATCGTTTAAATGCTATCAAATTTATTCAAAGGATTAATTTATATTTATTATAGATTGTATTTGATTATAGTATTTTTTATTTATACTAAATTTTAATTTTTAAATTTCATATTTTTTGTATTAAGATATTTTGTTTTCTTACTTATATATATATATATATATATAAAGAATAGTCAAAATTATTAGCTTACATCTATTTTAGAATGTTGGATTTTAAGTTTGAATTTTTTTAGACTACTTTATTTTTTATTTTATTTTATTTTTTATTACTTATAAGTACATGTCAATACATGTTAAATGTATAACTCATCTAAATACATAACTTTAATAACACAGATTTCTAATATAATTATGGATCTTAAAGATACATATAAGATAATTAATATATACTTATATATGGCCTTTGATACTAGATTTTAATGAGATATCATATAAATATTTATTTTTTTATTCTATATAAAATGTTGAATAATTACTTACATAATATCCTTACATTATAGATTCTTGATGAGATATCCTATAGTTGAATTGTTCTTTACATTTATTATTTAATCTTATAGTATATTGATCATGTTTGTAGTAAATATATTAATTTAGTACTTTTACAGAATAGATGAATTTTATTTATGTTACTTAGGTTTGGCATTATAATCTTTTAAATTTACAAAAGTTTTTTAGATTTTTTATAAAGATCATCAAATATATATATATATATATATACAAAATTTTTAGATTAAATCTAAATAAAGGTTATATTATATGTATTTCTTTATTATTTATATATTCATTGTAAATTATTGCATATATAAAGTTGATTATTTATTTAGCAATCTATTCAACCTGAAGATCTAAAGATGAAATTTATATTAGTTTATATTGTGGTGCTTTGAGTAAATAAAAGCATATACAAGTCAATTTAAAAATTTATAAAGATTAGAATTTTAATATGTTGAAATTGCTTAGAATAGTCTTAATCATATGCTTTTATAAAGATTTGACTTAAATAAGACATGGGTATTAATAATATGTTATAGTTCTATTGCTCATAGTTTATTTTTAAACTCAAGTTCTAATATCCACATTAATATTAACTTCATTGTTACCAAAATTAGAACTGCATTCTATTCCCTTGTTTGTATATTGTATTTCCAATTCTTTATTGGAACTTATAACTGATTATCATATGATAAATTCTAATAAAGTGTTTGCACTACCTAAATTTTGCTTTAACACAATTCCAATCCTATCAATTAAATTTCTTATTTTAGATGTAAATATTTTTTTTAAAATCTAATCAAAAACTACTTCACCAACATATCAAAGTGTTACATTTTAATTTTTCAAAGATCCAAAATATAAACCACTTAAGAAGAAGAAAAAAGAAAAAAAGAAAAACCAATTCATTCAAAATCTTACACAACTAAACTTTCCAAAAACAATATAAGAAGAAAACAAAAGATTACACCCATTGAAAGTGAAAATAATATAGAACAAGGATCCATTCATCATCCTATAACATATTCCATCTTTGTAACACCTTTGTAACAAGTTTTTGCATTTAAATTCCATCACCAAAATAAAAACAACATTATTTTACATGTTTACATGCTTTGGTTAGCATTTTCATTATTACCCAAGCTTGGTCATCAACATAGAACTTAACGAGTTAGAAATGAGAGGCAAATAGTGTGTTGGGAGAGCGCCATGAACATAGAAAGAATGAAAGACTTAAGTGGAAGGGGAAGTAGAAGGAGAAATAGAGGTGGTGGAGGTGGTGGAGGTGGTGGAGGTGGTGGTCTCGTGGACTAAGAACGCGGCCGTGACGTCTCCGACGATGTAGCCGACGCTTTTGAAGAGCGTAATGTCGAGCTCCGATGCTCGGCTGGCCGCAATTCCCCGCACTACCTCCGCCAAGCTCTTCACAATGTGCTCTCGCGCTACGATTTGCTGCTGTAGGGGTTGAACCATATCCCCTGACGCTTCAATTGCGTGCACAGTGTCCACCACTACCTTGCTCATGTGTGTGCACGCGTCGTCGCATTCTCTCATGGACGGTGTGAAGGATCCCACCAGGTCGAGGTGGGTGCTTCTCGACAGCCACTCCCCGAGCACTAGAGGCTCGCACGACAGCGTTGCGCAGGAGATAATGTCGCCTGCTCGCGCTGCGGCTTCTACAACCCCAGGCGCTTCAGATTATCTACAAGAACTACTCATTTGTGACCATTGACGACATGGGAGGGGCGTTTATCATCGGAGGCTATGGCTCGCCCTAGCTATGAATGTTCTTGTAATTCTTCAAATCAAGTAAGCGGACTGAATCTGTGCGAAATCACATCATGCAATGAATTCAGAGAGTTGTTCTCCGAGAGAAAAAACCAATTTAGAAGTGCAAAACGAGCTAAATATACTGACTTTGCGATTGAGACAAAGACGGCAAGAGGAAACGCTTGCGGAGGAAGTGATTTTTCCGAAACCAATAGCGGACGATTCTAACAGAAAAAAACGATTGCCAAAAGTGCGAGGATTGTATACCTCTTTCCAAGGACGACAGCACGAAAGTGCCAGCCACAGCTGGCAAGCCCTTCTACCCATTCTCTGGAAATACGGTGACGCTCTTTACGAGGAGGTAAGGTCGCTCGGGAATTGTGCACCACGCCGGCATGAGCAAAAGAGTAGGCGATGCAGACTTCCCATGGTCCGTCAAGCCCGAAGCCGCAATCGCATGACGTATTGTGTGCAGGATGGTGAAATTGGCTATTTCGAAATAAGAGACTCGCAGACGGTCAATGAGGAGAGGATATGTCATAATTTGACGGATACTAGACGCCGTGATCATCGGTGTTCCCTCCATCTCGTCAGTTGGAGATACAAAGCGGTCACAACTATGATACAACTGCAAAAGGATCTGTGCACACTGCGAGCGTAAGCTCATGGCGAGGACAGAGTTTTGAATTAGCCACCACGGGGAGATGAGCGTCATGACTTCCGACCAGTCACGCTGCTGCGAAGCAATAGATAAAATAAAAAATGTGCACAGATGGCGAGGACGTGGATGCTCATACATTCAATCTGGGGCCACTGCGGATCGACATATTGCCGAAAGGACCCGATCAACGCAACCAAGGATTTCAATTGGGGGTAACGTCAAATGCATACTGACCTAGAATCCTTTGATTTGATACGCAATGTGCATGATGAGCTTCAACATGTTTGGAGTGGAGAATTTTTTTGGTGCCAGTTTGACCCAAGATTGAGGACGAAGCCTCAAGAATTGGCTGCATTTCTATCCTTGATTTGTATCTTACGGTGAGTAGCAAACACAGGTAACAACAAATCCGTAGTGAGTTGCTGCCCTAATCCAAACTACTCTATCCAGCCTTGCACCCTGCTAATCTTCACACGTGAAGTCAATTGCATATTGACCACGATCCAAAAGCTCGACCTGATGTCAACTAGGTTGTAAGATCAACATACTGCTGCACTGGGAGAAAATTCCATTTGGTAGAGTGCGGCTGCAGCATCAGAGATCAATACAGGGGCTCAGAAGACAGCGTAGCACCTCCAAACGCTGAGAGGCGATCGATATCGACTTGATATAAACTCAACCCAGCCATGGAACCCTAAAAATTCAGCCTAACTAGGAATGCGCACAGAGCGATGCCTATTTGAAGTGTTACTTAGTGGCTTGTCTATTATTATACAAATTCATACGTAATTTGTACGTCATTTATAATTACATCTAACTCTAATCTTGTTGTTCTTGTTTAGTATATATTCTTCTACTTTAGACATCTTCCCATATATAGTTTGTTGGTTACTTTTATCTTCGTAATCCTGATATCTTTGTTCTTTTCTATTGCAATTGGCAACATTTATTACAATCTTAAAGTGTTTTTATTAAACTTGGATGGATTTAATTTTTGTATGGATAGTAGATGTTATTTATCAATATATGTATATGATCAATTTTGTCTCATTTATATGTATATCTTTTTTTGGATGATATTTAATGCATTAGAATTTCTTCTTTAATGACTAGTCTTGTCTATTTTTCTCTCTAAATTTAGCTATTTGTCTTTTTTCATAACTACATCTTAGTCTCATATGATATATTATTTATCTTTAATATGGTTTTGTTTGTTATATGTATTATATGAATTAAATTTTTGAAAGATTTATTTCTTTATAAGCTTGCAAAGAGGTATTTAGATCTTCAAACAAACTTTTACCAATATAAGTCATTTTTGTCCTTAAATAGTATCTTCTTTATCTATTATATGTGGCAAGATCTATTATAGTTTTTGTTGCTTATTTATCACTACTAAAAAACCTTCTTTGCCAACCAAATATATTTTTATTCTTCTTTCTACTATTCTTTAGTTTAAACACTTCTTGATGTTAAAGTTATGATTTTGGAGAAATTTTTACAAGGCTTTAATTTTAATATTAATTGTTTTGGCTATTCTTAATAACATAGAGTGTTGGACATCCTTTATTGATGTATTTTATTACAAAACAAAAGAAATACCTAATTGGTAGATGGTTTTAATTAATATTATCTATTATATAAGGCAACTTATGAAACAAACAACAAGAGATAAAAACACTCTTTGATTGGCCGCATTTCTCATCGTTTTCATCAAAAGTAAAGCAAATTTAATTCAACCATTTATCTATCAAAAATTAAAAATTGTATGTTTAATACTTCTACCAACTTTTGGAAAGATATTATTAACACACAAAAGATATTGTTAATACACCACTTCTAAAAATATACTATTAACTTTTGAAAAGATAGTATTAACACATAATTTCTAAAAAGATACTATTAATTCTCTCTATTGGTTGTCATTGCTATATAATATTTATGTTTTGGAATTCTAATGGAAAATTCAATTTGAATTTGGTGCAAAGTTGTGCACCTTTTGGCTTAATTTATTCTAGCATTGTGTGTCTTTTAGCTTGTAAATACCAAATGACCTCAAACAATATTCAACACTATATATATTATAGATTTTAATTTTTAATTTTTAATTTTTTCTAATACTATGTGTTCATTATTTTTATGAATCGATTGTGGAGTTTCACATTATTAATCATGACTTATTTATAAATCCAATAGATTTATTAATTTTTCAATGATGCAAAATAGTGATCATTCTAATTTGTTTCCCATATTGTATACTACAATTGAGAGTAGTTAGCAATGAAGCATTTGCAATGCTTAATAAGATACATGATGAAAAATTAGCAAACATAGCAAGGAAGAGTGAAGAGGATGACAAAGAAGTTTTTAATGTGATTTATCCTCAATAATTTTTGTGAAGTCACACATAGTAATCAATTTAGCAATTTCATTTGTGCACATATTTTGTTGCTTATTATCTTCAATACATATTTGTTACAAGTTAGAATTCATGTATTTATTGTAGATCTTTATCTAATGAAGATAAAGTTGCAACTCTATAAATCATCTTTTCTCCAATTCCCAAAATTCTTAGATTAGGTATTTATATTTCATTCAATACAAATTAGTTTGCAAATGGTTTATGAAGCTAGAACTTCCTAATTTTTGCCAGTTCCATAATACACATATACTTTGTTAATTCTAGATCTTCATTTGTTGAAGACAAATATTATATTTTTTATTATTGTGATTATTGCAATCATTTACAAGTACAAATTGATCCTTTATATAAGAAGAAAGTTGATTATACATGAGTGAAGATTATATTAGTTGTGTATTTGCATCAAATATTATTATTATTATAGAATCATGGTCATCATCTTCATTAATATTATGCTAGTAAGTTTTTGATTTTTTTTGTTTATTTGTTTTGTTTTGTTTTGTTTATTTTTGTTTTTTTTTTAAAAAACATTTCAGCACTATGCGCCCTTTGGCATGTGAATACCAAATGAGCTCAAGTATTGTACATCACTATGTATGTTGTTGATTTTTTTTTTTTTTTTTTTTTTTTCATTTTTTTCATTTTTTTTTCTTTATAATTAAATTTTCATTGAAGAAATTATTGAGCTTGTTTTGGGCTTATAAAGTCCCGTGTAATATAGAATTAAGCTTATGAAGTCTTTTGTAATGTGATAAAGTGTAGCTTTGACAATGATCAGAATTAATTAAAGAGCAATTGCTGAACAATAGAATAATAATGTGAGAGAGTCCAAAGAGAAGCTGAAATAGTTTATCCTAGAGCACTTGCTCAACAACGTTAAAGAAATTGGGAGAGAGCTTAAAGACAAGGTGTAACTATAAAAATTGGTGAACAAGGAATGCAACTTTTTTGTGCATATTATAATAAAAGAAAAAGATTGTTATAATATTGGAAATACGGATGTTGAATGCTTACATTGCAACACTTCATTGGATGGATGAACAAACCATAATATCAACAAAATTAAATCTAAAATATTTTATATGTTGTTTCATAGAAAGGTTCAACTTTTACTTCTTTAAGTTCTACTATTAATTAGTGAACTACTTGATGGAGTAGTTGAATAAAACAAGGAATTTCAAAAGAATATTTGACAATATGATGTTGCATACACATTTACATCTCTTGGTGTAAATTATCTCAAGGAACAATTAGCTTTTCTTCCAAGGATCATATTATACCCATCATTTGCAAAGATTTTCTTTAAGTTGTAGAGAAGGTAGTTTCTATTAAAGGTAGAATTTGTAATGGCTATTAATAAATCTCAAAAGTAATCATTAAAGAACATAGGGATAGATCTTAGAATTTCAATTTTATGCCTAAATAGTTGTATGTTGTCCTATCACATTGCACTTTTCTAATCATGATCAAGATCCTATATTCTAAAAACAATGAAGACAAAATTATCATTATAATTTTAGTTTATTCAAAAAAAATTAACTTGGTTATTTTATTTTTGTAATAAATAAAATATATATTTATTAATTAAAATGAAAAAATAAATAATTCTATTATTTTATTTTCTCTTTATTTTCTATTTTGCTAGACAACTTTTCTTCAAGAGTGATGAATTATTGAATTAGCAATCGCAAATTAAAATTTACACCTTTTTTGCAACTAACACCATAGATTTTTATTATATATAGAAATATAAATATACAAAGAATGGCAAGTTTGTACTCACAAGAATAAAAATTAGTGTTTTAATCACAAAAAATCAACAATGGGATTGTAATGATCAAATAATTTTTAGAAGAACTATCTTCTTATTTAGCAACCAAATAATGTGATGGAAATATTGTGGTTGATAACAAATCATTCTCTAGTAATAAAGCACTTACTCAAATCAATGTGTCTAGTACTTCTTCAAAAAGCCCTACCATTTTGATAGACAACATTTACTACACATAATATGTATTGTGGAAATTCCACCATGTTGTATTAAATCCACCATTAAAACGTGGCTAATAGTACGAGTTTTTGCTACTATATATGTGTATATATATATATATATATATATATATATATATATACATATATATAGTGATTGGCTTTGTGATAATGACTTCTAGTTTCTATCCTTTATGTACTTGAATTACAATACTAAATTTTGGCTCTAAGGTTTTATCATTATTTGGACCAACTCCAAGAACATTTTCTAAATCAACTAATACTTAAAAGGTGACTCGTTTGAATTGAACCAACACATTCTTATATATATATATATATATATATATATATATATACACATAACATATATATATATATATATATATATATATTTAAAAGATATATTTTTTATAGTTGGTCTTATATAAAGATAAGATTAGAATTTTTTAGATAGTCTCTATTGTTTCTACTTTAAGGTACAAAAGTCTTTTATCAATAGTTCTATGTAGTTGTAATGAGCTCAATTTGATCCTTTCTAATTTATAGAACCATATATCACATTATTTTGTAAAATAAATGCCATCTAATAATTACGTTATAATGATATATTTATATAAAAATAAAATTTTGACTTTAATTGCATTCATGTTAGTCTTTAAAACTCTAGCATATATTTTAATGAGAATCCAAAAACAAAAATAGTGATAGCTTGTAGAAAGATTCACACTATGAGTCAATTTTATTAGATATGGTCTTCTATCTTTCTTCCATTCACCTAATCTTTTTATCATCTAAGAGTTCAAATATTTGTTTAATATATATATATATATATATATATATATTAATTCTATTAATTTTACTTCTAATATCTTTCTTAGTCTATTATTCTAAAGATGTATTACATAAAGTCATCATCTTGTATCTAATTAAATCTATTCCCTATAACTCAAATTCTATGATTAATTATTTTTTTTTTTTATTTTTTTTTTTTTGTAGAAAATTTGTCTTACAAGTTAGACATGCGTTTTTCAAGTTGGATACATATTGGAGGTTCTATAGAACGTTATCATATAGCTTTTAATTAGATAATATATACGACAGAAAAAATGAAATTTTTTCCACACTTGTCAATGCCTTTCTTGTTTTTAGTCTTGTTTTAAGAGCCTATAGTCTTCTTGTCTTTAGAAATAGCCATTTTAGTTTTAATACTATATTACTTTTGAACAAATATCTATTCTCTTGAGTAATAGAAGAGTATATTGAGGTATTTATTGTTTATGATTCATGTCCTTGATAAATGTTTCCTCCCTTCTTTTGGTACAATCAATATCATAAAAGCTAAAATTTTCTAATTAGATGAATTTATTAGCTGTCATTTTATAACATGGCATTATTCTAGTATAATAGTTGTAGAGCTTTGTTGTTAAGTATATTCAATATTGTCATGTAGTAATACAATTATATGGTGAACAATAAAAATATGGATATTATTATAGAAGATCCTAATAAAAATATATAATAAAAAAATAAGAATAAATAATAGAAAGGTAATAAAAACTTTAGTCTCAATATAACCTTTTTATAGAAGATATTTTTATTTACTTACAAGACTTTGTGGTAAGATACTATATAAAGTTTTTTATAGTGAAAAATCTTTTCTTAAATTTGCTTGTTGTTTTGGTTGTCGTCCTTGATATCACATATCAAATGAAAAGCATTATAAGCTTGACACAAAAGTAAAGAAAAGAAAATTTATTAGATATTCAGATGTGGTAAAAAAATAAAAAAAATTCTACTTAAAATAAATATAAATAAAAATAAATGATTCTTAATCAAGATGTGGTTTTCTTTTTTATAACAATGATTTGCTTTGTGAGCCAAATTTTTAAAAGAAGAATAGAGGAGATATTCAATTAGATCAAAAACATCCAAACCTCAAGCCTTGAGATTACATAGCCATGAAGGATCTAATAGAGAAATGGTTAAAAAAAGAAGCAATTTCTATACCAATAGAAATAGTGGAATTTCATCAACCAAAAGTGGACACAACCAGTCAAGCTCTACCACCAAGACATCATGATGTAGGTGGTATTGATCCAAAAAACATCAAAAGTGGCAACAAGATGTATTGCATATCTTAGGTCAATGACAAAAAAAAATTATTTGAAGAGGTTATGATCTATTAATTGAAACAATGAATGTCATTTATACTAATGAATAATCAAAACCAAACACCATTGAATAAGCTATAAAACCAGCTCATAGATGAGGAATTTGATTTCTTTAAAAATTATGGTATGTAGAAGTTTTTATATCTACTAAATGGCAAGAAGGTTGTAGATTCAAAATAGATTTTTTAAACAAATTTTGCTAGCAATGGTTCCATTGAGCATTTTAAAAGTACGACTGGTTACAAGAACTTTTATTTAAGTGAAGGGTCTTGATTATCAAAAGACTTTTGCACCAATTGCTTGTCTTGCAATAATTTATATATTTATTCAATTGCTACTATCTTTGATTGGATTTTGTTGCAACTTAATGTTGTTTTAGATTATTTGAATAGTAAATTGAAGAAAGAAGATATCTATATAAAGAATTTAGAAGATTTAGAAGTTTTGTCCAAATACAAAAATAAGGTATTATGATTATTAAAGACCTTGTATGATTTAAAGTAATTTAGATGTAAATACTTTAAGAATCTAGCTGCAGTTTTATTGAATTTTGGTTGAGAGCCCTTAGAATTATATGTTTATTTATAGATAATATATATTAAATAATTATTCCTTGCATTGATTGTTTATATTGATAATGTACTAGTTGGTAGCAAGAATTTTGATATCCTTATAAATTACAATAATCAATTAGTAATTTAACAGACCTCAATAAGTCCAATCATTTCATTTATATTTATTTCTTGTTAGGCAAGAAGAGTGTTATTATGACTTTGATCCAAATTAAGTACATTTTTTAAAAATTTGGAGGAATTTAGAATAAAAGATATAATTGCAATATTAATAATACAAGGTCATTTCACTAAGCCTTAGAAAAATAAACCTTTGGATGCACAAGATGTAAAGCTTTCTAAAAGCAAACTTAAAAGAGCAAGTTTGCAACTTATAGGCTTTCGTGATGCAAATGGAAGCAATTATTAATTATTATTTTGTTAATAGAGGCAAAGTATGCAGCTTTAACCATTGCACTGAAAGTAACTTTATGGCTTTATAAAGTGTTAAAATTTATGATATTTCCAAGTTGGAAAGATATTCATTTATGAAAATAACCAAAATGCTATTGCTATTGCCAAGAATCCAACATACCATGGTTGTATTAATATTGGAACATAAAATATCATTTTATCAAGCAATGTCTTAAGAAAAGACAAATTGGATTGGCTAATTATACCATACAATAGATAACAATAAATATCTTTACAAAACATCTTGCAAGAAGTAAGTTCTTACTTTGCAAAGATATGTTAGGCCCTGTTTTAATGGAAAATTGTATCTTAATTTTTTGGAAGAAGAGTATTGAATAACATTATAAGGGATGTGTTATAAATTGGGACTTGTCCAACTTAAAATCAAACTTCTACAAAACTCATTCTCTTCTTTTGGCACATTTGTAATCATAATAGATGAAATCTACTAATCAAATGAATGCATTAGCTACCATTTTGTAATAAAGACCCCTATTCACTTAGCTACAAATTATCTATTCAATGCAGTAGTAGCCTTGCATAACCCTAGTGTCCTTGCTTTGTTATGCTCCAAAAATTACAATATTACTACATGACCCCTTTGTCTCAAAGACAACTAAAACTTTCACTTTCAGACTTAATGAGCAGATGTTATGTACCTAGATTGCAAAACATCTATTACAGTACGAAATTTGTCATAAGAAGTGACATTGCATGGTAGAGAATGCTAAAATTATTAGTGGGTTCACAGTGTCCTCGATACAAACTGCTGTACCCAACAACAGCTCTAAAAGAATAGGTACATTCTATTTGCAAATGCTTTACCCAACGAATGGGTGCAACTGGAGCAACTGCCATAGAATTGAGAATGCCCTGTACTCGCTGTAAGAACACGTAACTCCCCAGTTGGGATGAGATTCATTTACGATCTAGATATTGTTTGATCTTGATGTTTGAGTTCTCAGCTCGTTCCCTCATGAACTCCATCCTCTTCGAGGCGAAAAAGATCCAAATATCTTCAGGATTTTTTGATGAATTGACAAATACAACCTGCACTCCAGGATAAACATGAAAGAGTATGCTGGCACAAAGAGAATGTTCAGGAGAATCAACAGTTAGATTTGAAAGAGATGGCATTCTGACAAGAGTCATGAGTCGGTTTTAAGGAGCTACAACAAAACATGATTCTAACTGAGGATATGATCGTATACCCAATCGTCAAAAGTGAGATATTGCAGCGAGAGTATCTTGACTAGTTTGTGTGCCTGGTTTTAACTGTAATCATCAGGTGCGAGGCTAAGGTGGAATGACGTTCACACTGCACAGAACAGTGGGTAGTGCGGTGCACAGAACAGCGCGCGGCCACACACCTTCCTACAGAGGTAGAAAGATCCCTGTGTTCAAGTTGCAGCTTTTCTAGGTCGAGCTGCTGCAAATAATCACAGGGTTCGAATAAGATTATAAGAATTTCCTCGACTGGGATATAATGAAAACAAAACTACATAGCCCACAGGACAAAATGCGCATTCCTCCACTTCGGCTGTCAAGCAGCCGGAGAAAGCTTCAATGGAACAAAGCTAGAATACTTCCGGTAGAGAAGCAGTGTAAAACGTGAAGCCTCACAGTTTAAGACGGGATCATGATGAACCACAATTAGGATGATCTAAGGAAGCGATGAAAGAAGTCCACATTTATTGGACGAAGACATGTGAATAAATTCAATGCACCTCCCAGATGATATCACTTAAGAGCAGCAGCCTGCGCTTCTTGATCAGGCATTCATTTCAAACCTAGGTCACGATGCAATGTCTCTGACGATCATCTCGGACAGCGAAAACCCCAATATGGAGGCTCCGTGTCGGTTACCTACTATTCACAACTACATTCCATACGTTGCAGTCTAATTTGTCTGATCCGGCGCTAGAGGTACCAGGATAACGAAGAATTAATTGATCTCTCTACTTTGGCTTCCAGACAGCACCCTAAGGACGCCATCGGAGTTTGCAGCTACCAATGTACAGTCGTTTGACTTCGTCCTCCAGCAGACTGCGCTTACGATGAGGCTGTTCGACGTATCCCCTTCGGAGTGTTTCAAGCTCTCCTTCGAAGCCAGTCGATCGGAGCTCCACGAGCCCAAAATCGGGTTCATGTTCGATGAAGTCGGCTTGTAGTCAAAACTGTGCATCAAAATGGGGTTGCTCGTCTGACTATCATATACAAAAGCTTGATTGGTTTCAGAGCCACATGCAATGAGCCCGCCTTCGCTCCGGACAGACAACCCCGTAAAGTTCCGCACATTATAATGACTGCCGAACGACTTGACGAGCGTGTCGCAATGCTGGTAAATAACAGAGGCAGCTCTTTCGGATGTGGAACTCAAGGAGGTTATATCCCAGAGCTTCACCGAGCTGTCGATAGAGGATGACACCAAGCTATGCCGAGTCAAGAATCTGACGTAGCTGGCTGCACGTTTGTGGTGCGCGAGGGTTAGCAGCGGAGTTGACAACCATCGGGTATCGTACAGATAAACATTGCTATCTGCAGAAGCCAATGCAATGAGCGAAGACGACACTGGACCGAATTCGGCGCAGCAGATAGGACTGTACGTTGGATGAGAAAGAATTGCTGCACTTTGTTCAGAATTCCGGTCCCATATGCGAACAGTTCCGTCATCAGAAGCTGAGGCAATAAGGTTAGGAAAGTCCTTGCTGTAGTCTATGCTCCATATCCTCTGCCCGCCATTCTCGTCTCTCTCGCTAATAGTGCAATTCCTCTCCAAATCCCACTCAGCTACAACGCCGTCGTAGTCGCCACAGGCAATCAAGTTAGGCCTCTCCTGATACCATTGCAAACTACTCAACTTCGCAGGAGTGCAAACCTCCTGTACACAGCACCTCGCATGATCAATTTCAGATGTCGAGGCTCGTCGTTTGCGAAGCCGTCGTTGCTTCAAATAATCCAAAGACTCCTCCTCATCTTCATCCTCATCCTCATCCTCGTAAGTCGAGCTGACCCCCGACACCAGTTGAGAGTAGGAATAGACACGGATTTTACGAGCGATGCCGCCTGTTGCGAAATATTCATTTGTCTTCTCAAATGCGATAGTGCCAATCACATCTGTGGACGTCAAGTTTCTATTCTGGCTCTTCACCGATGCGACGACTTTAAAATCCCATGAACTCCTATGGTCCTCCCCGTGGCAATGTTGACGCGATACAATCACAGATCCCTCACCATTGCCACCACAAATGGATTGAAGCGTCGATCCACATGAAACAGCACCATTCTGCAGGGGTTTGCTTTTTCCTTGAGCGTCACTTATGAGTGTCTGCTTGATGTTGTCTCTTGGAATATCCACTTCAAGAGGAACCTTGGAGAAAGAATGTGCTAACCTAGACTCCCCTAGACGCAAGTTAGGCATCGAAGCCGGCCTGGTGCAGCGACCTTCCTCGGCTGTGGCATCACCGGGCGGAGGACTGGTTCCTGGGAGCATAGGGAACTCAAACACCTTCGCTCGCTCTGAAAAATTCCTGTGGCCTTTGCTGCCGTTTGAAAGAATGGCATGTGTGGGCGCTCTGTCCACAGTCCAAATAGAGATCTGCTGGGCTGCCTTCTTCTCATCATGAGGATCCAGAGTATCCACTCCCAAGATCTTGAGCTTGATACTGTGCGGTGGAGAAATTGCTCCTGTCGATTGTTCCTCAAGTGAAACTTTCCGACGCTTAAATCGACTACCCGTAGAGTCGAATTTGAACAAAGTCTTCCTGAAGGAGAAACGACACAATCTGTCGAGACTTGAACCTAAGGAGTCGTGCATAGGTAGCCGAGAGTTATCCAGCAATGACGCTGTTGCGCCGACCACATTGTCACCAGACGATGGGCCCTCCAAGAAATGATCTGATGGAGCCTGAACATAACAAGAAACACAACAATGTTCAGTCCCACGTGCTTAACACAGAAATGAACACACTGAGCAATATAATTTACATTAGATTTCTGAACAGAATTGCGAGCACAGCCGCTTCTTCTACCGCCGCCAATTCTCAAACTCGACATGAGGAACGACAATTTTTTCAGTATGCAATCAGCTATCCGCAGGACTGCACTAGAGGGGGAGGCGGCATGGCGAAGACTATTGAACTGCTGACGACATTCTGGGCGACACGTGACTGATGAATTGATTGATGACAAGAGAAGTAATTGCATCATTGCTATAAAGAAAATGAGGAGATGGAAGAAAGGCTACATACACCGAGTAGGAGAGGACTTTCCATACCACGGTTGAAAATACAATCTGCCCGGACACCCTCCTAAAGAGCCCGAGCTACACACGCTCTCAGAATTAACCTTGGACCCCCTTTTGGCTTTCCTCGAGAGTTATAATCATCAGTAGATCACTGGAAGCTCCAGAATTCGACAGTGTGGAATTCGTCCCCTGTCCAAATGCCCTTCCAGAACATCGGCTACTTCACAGTTCCAAATTGCGTCTCCTCGAGGATCCTTACACCACTGAATGAAGCCGCACCAGTTGCACCTACAGAACTCGCGGAACTGAGAGTAAAATATCCGAAACCATGTGCAAGCGATTAATACATCTTTAGGTTGAATATCGTAGCTCAATCTTTCCCTGAGTCACACGCAAATACGACAATTCCTGTATCTCGCAGCTCCACACTGGCACCGCCCTCACCAGATGATGTCAAATGCAGCCAAAGACTTCGCACGAATCAAACAGGACTGCGAGCGCGAGCTGCAGAATGCCACACACCCTGCACTCCCACTAGCTGCACAAATCCTACCTGCCCTATCGATCAACGAAACTCGTACTACTCGCACAATCAATCTGAATCTCAGCACACAGCCTGCTTGCATTAATACACCACACCCTTCCTCGCTCTCCGCCTGTGACTGATCCCCCGGAACCTTCTCCAATTCCTTGCAACAAGTCAAGCAATCTCAAGTTCAATCACCACCAGCTTTTGCCAATTCTTCCCGCACCTACAGCGAGCTGAACCTCACGATTGGGCTGACCGTTGTGGAGATGACCGCAGCCAAGATAGTTAAGCTAGGAACACCTTATGATTGAAGAGGGAGAGGAGACAGTGACGACGCCAGGGGATGGCGTGGGAGAGTAGCGAACGGACAATGGAAGGGCGAGTGAAAGAAAGATGGAGGGCGAGAGACTGGGAAAGAGGAAGCCACGACATAGGCGGGCACGGTGGCCGCTTGCAAGCCTAGCACTCCACCCGGAGCCACGTTTAGCCGATTCCTGTGCTTTGCAGCCTTCCCTTCCCTCGCGTAGCCTTTCCTTTCTCTGACTTTCCTTGACGTGCTTTTTACTGCCGCCATAGCCAGCAATGACCACTGCCACCCTGCAACAGGGCTCGATTATTACTCGGTTCTCGCTTGTTGCAAGGCCCGGACTCACTTTCCTTTTTGTCACTCCCGGGGCGTTGTGGACGACGGCGCGCGGGATGGAAGGGAGCTCTGTAACTGGGATTGTACCGTCCGTGTTGTGTGTGCGTCGCGCTGCAAAAGCGCAGCCAGGATGATCACATTCACGGGAGTTCGCGGGGGAATAATGCCGCGGCGGTGATGCTCCCACGCTTCCCCGCTCCAGGTGGCGTGGCGGACCCACGTCGACATCTCTCTCCCGAGTGTAGAGTTCCCGCTCCCCTGCACCGATTAGGGAGCACAATGTTTCCCTGCCAGATTTGAACACACGCCGAGTAAATATATATATATAATAAAATAAAATAAAACTTACTCTCATTTTCATCTGCTTCAATTCCATATCCGTGAACCATCTTTCATTCATAATTCATCCATACGTTACTAAGCTCGTATTTGATATGATATGCTGTCAAAATAATTCGATACTGAATTTCAAACTAATGTTCATGACATCTTTATATAATAATAAATAACCATGCCAGCCAGATAAAACTTGGCATAAATTGGATATTGGTGCAATTTGAACTTACTTGTGTGGTACTGCCACTACATCCATGATGAAAGCTGAGAGCTTTGCATGTTAAATTCATTTTGCTCATTGTCAGAAAATAAAATAATATAAGTCCTTACAATTAGGGTTCCTTGTTTAATGGTTTGATATTGCACTGAAGTTCATCCTTGGAATGAGATAGTTTTGCAATATGATGAAGTTGTTGAGAATTGTATAAAAGCTATTTTATTACCTAAAAATGGTTTTGAATGCATTATCAAACCTCACAAAGTAACTTTTTCTTCCTAATTACTTTTTTAATTTAGCATGTTACAAAAATCGAATTTTAACAAGGTTTTTTTTTGTATCTAAATCTGAAAAAAAATAAAATAAAAAGGGAACGAAAATAAAATGTTGCAAATTAGAGTACAAAGAAAAAGTGATGAGCCAAAGCCTGTAAACATGTGTTTCCAGTGTGTTTTTCCACACGTAACCAATGAAAGGATTCACCATTCGTTATTATAAGTGTAAGCATGGTTCTATCAAAGGCTTATCATTGCATCACTTTGATGTTCTGGGAACCAAGTTAGGACAAATATATATATATATATATATATATTTATATGCATCAGTCTCTTTGGAATATAGATTTGCATTTCACATACCAAAATACATTCTCAAGTATAACTTCTCCACAATTGAATATTTCACAAATTATGCTTAGGATAATATAAATTGTAATGTTAAACTTCTCGTAATTTGTTACTTAAAAAAGTACAACGGGGACAAAGACTAACAGGTATGGAGATAGTGAAGAAGAGCCACGTCACAAAATGAAAACAGCAGTGAAAAAATCTTTGTGAATGGGATAAATGTGGGGGTGGATGCAGAGCCACGTGGCGAAGTGGGTCGGAGATGCTGATAAGATATTGCTCCATTCGCCTAATAATGTGAGTTTCCTTTTCTGTATGTATCAGAGCACCACCACCACCACCATCATCAATTCTTTCCCCAAGTGAATCATCCCCACGACAAATTCTTAGTCAGATCTGTCGACCCAGTGATGTCATCACGAACCCAGCCAATCACCTCGACCCATTCTAGATAAGCACTCTCTGACACCCAATTGGGCCCGAATCCTCCCTACACTCGAATAAAACAACAAAGTAAAAGCTTAGAAAAGTGAAAGAATCCGTGTTCATTTCGGGAATTCCTTTATCTCAGTACGGAAACAAACATTCTACAATTTGCACTAAAAAGGCTTTTGTGGACTTCGTGTCAATGAAAAGTGGGCCAATTTGATGAGAGTGGTGACCTGTGTAACCATCAAGCAGATTCTGGTAATTCGGGTTCAATGAGAGCGGTGAATCCACGTGGCAAAGTGCCAGGCTGGAATTTGTTTTGACCCTTCTAGAGAAGGCAACAGAGATATTTGATGAATTCGGGGATGGGCTCAGGGTTTAGGTTTATTGCCTCTCTAGGTATTTTGTCTCATGTCAGGGAACTGTGATTGGCATAATAGCTATGGGGCTCTTCTATTGGACAATTGCGGCAGACAATCTTAGAGGACTTATTATATTTTGTGTGAAGGAGAAAAAAAGACAAAAATATCTTAAGATTCAAGCAAACAATCTAAGCTACAAACGACTTTTATTTTATTATTATTTTAATGCACATGTATTACCCCTCCCCTCCCAGTAAAGAAACTGCTTTTTAGCAAAACTGGGTAATCCTCTTTTAGGAGTAAGTGCCACGTCAGCATTACTGTGGTGGAGGGTGAATAGGTACTTCAGGTGTGAACACAACACTGCAACTATATCTGTCACTTGCCATTTTCTTTTCATTCACCTTTTGAGACCATACCATGAAAGTTGGTACCTAACAATTGGTAGCTTGAGGAGAAAAAACTGTGTTTGTACACACATGGAGAAGTTACATGTTTTTAAGCTCACATTTCGTGTTTCTCTATTGTGTGTACACACGTGTCTATTATTGTGTTGTGTCTGTTGTGGTCAATTTTTGCACGGAATTTAAAAATATTCATGCAATGTCTCTCCAATTCAACAATGCTAATTTAAATCTTTGAAAACAATGTAGGGTTCAGTTAAATCTTGCACAAGCTAACTGTTAAGCATTGAGCAGAAGAACACACTAGAATCTCATCACAAATTCAAATTGAATCATTTTAGAAATTTTAAAATACATTAATATGAAACTCATTTACCCCATTTCCACTTTGGCCTAAAGAACCAGTGGGGCTGGCTGAAACTCACACACACACACTATGGAATCCTTGGTGAGGCTTGTGTAACGTCAGTCAAATATCAGCTCTCCCCAAACATGCACACATCAGAAAAAATAAAAATAAAAAAACAAAAAATAAGCTGAAGGTATAGCCTCTAATTGGCTCACTCTGAACACCAATTGTAAACAGGTTTGCAAAAGACCAACTACATCACAGCTCGAATTAAGGCCTCCACTTCCTTTGGAATTTTCTGCGTCTGAGAATATAAAAAGGAAAGACAAGACAAAAGTAAGGAGAAATTTCAAAAAAGTGAAAATGGGTGGATTTCCCTTACCATTAATTCAAAACCATGGCCCTTAGGATTGGATGTTTCTGGATGGGACAATGCTGTCATTAACTGTCAGTTAAAGAAGGAGAAATGGGTGGAACCGATCGTATGCAAAGTATTCGTCATATCACAATCTTTGATTTTCCATGGTTCTTATTACTTGAATAAGGACCTCCTTTTTCCTTTATATATGTATCTATATAAATATACTCACACACATAGTGGGCCATAACCATGCTCAGTTATTTACGTGGGTGAATTATAAAACAATGCCTTCGTAGATGACCTAAAATGAAAAGTATGAAGCAAGGGGAACAAACTGAGGCAGGGGTATTTCCCCCCGCCGTTCTCAATAGAGTTCCCCTGACACGTTCCCACCAAGGACGTTCTGTCCACTCTTCATCCCGAGACGGACGACATCCCCCTTCATCCGAGGAATGGCGAAAAGCGATGTGGCATTCTCTGCTTCACTAGATGAATGAAGATACACGGTTCCGATGTTTTTGCTTAGATCTTCCGAGTGAAATATCTGGACCTCACGCACCACAGAATTATTATTGTTATTATTGTTAGTTATTATTCCCTGAGGAGGGTGGGGTGCCTCCGTGGCATGCCACGTCAGTTCATTCGGGGTCTCGCCGTGGCAGTGCCTACGTGGATCCACAGGGAGGGAGGGAGGGGTCTTTCAAGAGTCCACAGAAGCTAAAGGCTGTCAATGACATCTTTTTCTGAGGAAGAATTTGGAATTCCTTGAGTGTGAATGGATGGATTTGATTTATAATGTAATGGAAATTTCATGCAAATATTATTATATCACAACTTCAAAAAACATACAAAAAGTCCATCAATAAGAAATATGGATATAGATTTCAAATTTATACTAAAAAAGAAAAAAGGAAACTTAGATAAATTTTATTTCAATTTCAAAAAGAAAACATATTGATAATAATTGAGGTCTTATATTTGTTTTTAAAATTCTACTTTGTTTACTTGGACCTTAATTATTAGAAACAACTACTTCATTGTTGTAAAATTATTATTATGTTGGATTAAAAAATCACCTCCTACAACCTGGAAGATCCTAATAGTGTAGAAAAAGTGTTTTATTGAAATCAACATTAGTTAGAAGAAGCTTTTCAAAGTATTATTTAATCAAAATACCCATGCATGTGTGTACACATATGAGTTTGTCTTGGCATAAATATAAAATTTGAAGGCAAAATAAACATGCAAATATTATTTAAATTTCACTAAATTATATGTATATATACACAAGAGAAACAAGTGTATGTAAATGAGTAACAAAGACAACCTTCTTAAAACTAAAGTTAACACAAATGTAATGAATAAGTTTGTTGTAGAATAGTATCTGTGTTGGATTTTTAATTTATTTTATTCTGTTTTTCTCCACCATGAATTTGTCATATATCAACATAGCAATACATCGAAAAAAAGTTACTGAGACAGAATGCAAAATTGTATTGAATTGTGGAAATGATATTGATTTTATCAAACCTTACAAAATTTCAAACATTTCTAACAGCGTGATATAAGTAATATTTTGTAAATTAATATTTCTATTCATGATCTATATCTTTTTACATCGTTTATTTATCATGGCTTTGTCATGATTACATTCCATGGTACAAATAATGACTCTTTCACTTGCTTATTTTTAGTTTATTTTTTTACAAATTTTTATTGATATTTTAAGTGAGTAATTTTGAAAAATGATTACCCAATGTATTTATAGTTTTATATTACACTTAATAATTTACATCATTTTCAAAATGATTCTAGATTTTTGTTTCTCTATTTAAATGTAATGTAAGTCATCTTTTGTCAATATGACTAGCAGCTTTTCAGTAATTAATTTAAACTGTAATACAAAGATAAAATATGTGAATGGGCTTAATCTGTAAAGGAATTATTTGAAAGCTTATAGTAATTGAATAAATTTTGCACATGTAACAAAAAAACATTACTTGTATGTATGTATGTATGTATGTATGTATGTATGTATGTATGTGTGTATGTATGTATGTTAATAAATAAACATATAAATATCAACAAAATATTCTTTACCTATGATAAAATTGAATTAGAAAGTCCTATTTTGATATATTCTCCTAACATACATTAAGTTTTTGTTTCAAAAACGATTTTGTTATCTTCTTTCTAATAATGTTTTCTTAAGTGTTGTTACTAAAATTATACACTAGCATTTGGAAATCTATTACTGTTGGATTTTTAGTAAATAAGTTTCAGAAGCGTAATCAAATATTATCTATAAAACCATTTGCTCGGAATTGGAAAATGAACATCCATGTTTACAAGAGCTGAATACTTCAAAATAGACGTTAAATGCCATGTGCTCATGCCTACATTATAAAGTGATGTATGTTGTGATTTCAAACTCTCCCCAGCAAAGAAATATATCAATATGTAGAAATGAATGAGCTTAGGAAGTGCTAATATTTTAGTAAAATAACAAATTTACATATGCTATTCATCCATGTGTAACGAGCTTGGACCACTTATCTGATTCACATTGCAACATATTACTCTTAGTATTTCTGTTCATGAATTTCCCTTGAAAATTGGAATAATGTTTCCTTTGAGAGGCAATAGGTCAAAATATACTGCCAAAACGATTTGTAAAATGTGGCATCTTGTATCTTTTTTCTTCTTGTTACACACCAATGCCATGACATCACACACCAAATTGGCAAAAAGGCAAGCCAACATTTTTTCATACACCCTTCAGGCTTGCCACTTTTATAAATATAGTAACATTAAGAAAACAGCTTGAGTACAACATTGTGCTCTACCCCCATTTTTTTTTTTAATAAGCTACAAGATTGGTTTCTTGCTCCAATAACTAATCTTGATACTAGCACTGTTAAATATTAATTCTTATAATTTTACATTCTTCAAACTTGTAGTAAGAGACAATATACCAGTGGAATGGCTGTAACAACAGACCCATTTATTTGCCAACCAATGTATGAACTTTGACTACGTTTTTTATTAATCGTGATTTGATGAATGCCGAAGTTTATTTAATCCAGCCCATTAGTCACCTACATCCGAGCTGTGCACGGGTCTATAAATTATACCAAATCTGGACGAGAATAAATGCCTTTTCATCATATTATACTGTAAAGATATAATACTTTACTGACTAGATATGTCTTCTTGCAGGTCTTATATAATTTCAGATATTATACTTTAGTCAAGAGGTAATAAGATTTCATATCAGACACGTTGTTGAGAAACAACTGACCAATCATGAGGTGTTGCTAAATTAAAAGTCGAGCATAGCATTACGGACAAGTAAATGTACATGGTTTCAGATGCCTTTAGGTATTCACTGACGAAATCCATGTTTTGTTTTGGTTAGATATTGTGAGGACTTGTGCATGGGGTGAGTGTGCGTTTTGGAATTGCAGACATTTGGAGGGATTAGATGATAGTAGTAAGACTTCACTTGCTTACATCTGCAGACAACGCAATTTTCTTTATCAGCCATAGCTTAGTTGGGATTTCAGCTTAATACATATTCAGCAGTCTACCTGTAATGGTATATTATGTTAATCACTGCACCCTCGCAATATTTTTAGTTTTCATTCGAGCTTATGTTATGTAGCGAAGCCATCTCTATCACTGAATGTAACAAGAATCAGTTACGGGTTCTGCGGACACAGTACAGTTCAGAAACGTTCGAATCACGCTAAGTTTGAGAGTCAAATTGCAAAGAACCAAAATCGATGCGCTCTTTCCGCACTACAAAAAGCAGTGAAACCAAAAAATAGATTTTGATTCCGTAGCAATGCAAGGCGGAGAAGATAACAAGTGGTCAGATGATTTGAGATTAGCCACATAAAGACAGCCAAGTTTGAATATTAATAAGGAGCAACAGATCCCAGAGCACTTTTGCAGGATGGTGGGTATACATTGCCATAAGTATCGTGCCACAGATGAGAGAACAGCTATCTCTTCCTCCGCTTCAACTTCTTCTCTACTTTTGGGCTCTTCAGGTCAGACACAGTTTGCGGTGGTCCTTCTTGTTTTCTCTTTTTAAGCTTCTTGTCCGTAGAGGAAGTGTGTTCTGTAACAACGTCAGATTCTGTAGGAGCAGAAGGCTCTTCGACCTTGACACCCATTTCAGCTTGCACACTTTTCAAAACATCTTCCCAAGTTACGTCCTCTTCCGCGTCATCACTTTCAGATTCCTCTTCAGCGGACCGTGATGCTGTTGCAATATCCTGGGCATCCTCAGCTTCTTCTGACAGAGACAGGAAACACCACAGATCAGCTTTCATTCGAGATATACAGGATGAACAGTTAGAAGTGGCGATTGTTCATGACCAGGTAAAAATGCCTCTGAATTCAGTATCACCGACCAGGATAACGGGAGACCCCAGACCAATTCTTCACGAACTAACACAACAACGTACCCTAAGTGCTGGCATATGACCCACACAATCAATACACATTCTCTCAGATGATAACTCACCAGGCCTTTCTTCATCCTCATCATCTCTACTGCCAATCTCGTTCATATCGTCATCGTCATCTGATTCCGATTGAAGGTCCTCATGATCAGGATTATTAATATCTTCAACATCGAAGAAATTCTCCTTCACAGGAACGTGTCTAACTTTCTGCTTTTTCACGACATCAGCAATAGCGGACGCTGCTACTTGAGTAACTGTCTGTTCTTCAGTCTCAGACTGACCCTCAGCTGAAGCTGGGGCTTTGGTTCCCTCGGGTAATGGCCCTTCTATGCGAGGGGGAGGTATGAAGAACGGAATTCTCCCTCTCACCCAATCATGAAGCACCATTTTGGCAGCGGTCGGCAAATCGGGCTCTCCTCCCTTGAGCAACTTTCCGGTCAATCTACAAAGTTGCGTCAAAAAGTCATTATCATCTACCCAGTCCTTGACACGGTATGCTCGTACAAGATAATCCTTTTTCACACGACTCAATACCTCACCGATGTGCTCTGTGGCATCTTCCAAATTCCCTACTCGAACTACACCCTTAAGAACAATATCAGTCTCGGAATCCGAACTCTGATAGACGACACCAGGACAATCGATCAGAAATATGCGCTTGGTGAGTGTGATGTATTGCCAAACTTTCGTCTCCCCAGGAATTGGAGCCACCTTGCACACCATCTTCGTTCGCAGGGTGTTGATAACCGACGACTTCCCAACATTCGGATATCCAACAAATCCGACCGAAATAGCCTGTTTGTCACTTTTCAAGCGAGCAAGTTGCCGAAGAAGTGAAAGGAGCGAGCCCTGCTCAAGAAAAAAGTAGTTTCAGTAGTGTACATTAGCGATGAGATCCTATGCCTACATTCTCATAGCCGCCAGCTGGCGAAGACTCACTACCTGTCTTAGACGAAACCAGTTAACGAAAAAATATGAAGACTAAGTGCCAGAAAATGCACCATTGAATGCATGTGTATCAGGTAAATACCTTGCCGAAAGGATTGGTAACACTTGCGTGGAAAGCAAGTGTTGGAAATTCCCGCGAGAGAACATGCAGCCAACCCTTCGTTGCCCATGAAGGAATCAAGTCACACTACACAAGAGTTCACTCATCCATATCAGACGTTTGCTCAAAATACAATAACTCTGAATTTGAAACGGAAAACTAACAATAAATGCAGCGTTGAAGCGTCCTGTAAAAGAACGAAAAGACATCACATGTTTTCTACCTAGCAAAATGAGTATACCACGTAACACTTCCAAACAAAATCAGCACTTCACATGAGTACGAATACCAAAGACTCTTTCTAGTAGACATACTCATTAGAATTTCCTGAGAAGAAGAAAGGACAGACCTTATTCAACAGCAATATAAGATGCTTGTGCTTGCAGTTATCTCGTAAATGCCTCTCCAAATGTCTGCACCTTGTACCCATTGGATCCCTGGCATCCAAAACCTAATGTGCCACAATCACATTACAAGATCAAACTTCAATCATGAAAAAATCCAGTAAGGGGTTCCGAATAATCTTACACTGCATGGACTGCCAAAGACAGACATTGCGCGTCATGTAAACTCTAAAAAAGACTTGAGAGCAAACTTTGTCGTCCGCCATCAGAAAAACCTAGTCATAGCACAACGTAAATTCCAAGACGCTCTGCTGTAACGGTAATCGGTAGTAACGTACCTGGATGACTACATCCGAAGAATCGATAACTTTGTATAGCTCGCCCCAAATACGCTTACTCTGACCTTTGTCGAACATACTGTGTCTAGCCGCATCCCTCGCGCCATCATCCTTACCATTAGGAAAGGGCTTGTCATCGCCATTTTCAAATCCATCTGTATACACAAGCTCTCGAGTCAAAATCTTCACCATCAGCCAACGCCGCCCGATTATAGTCTCTTGATGATTTCTTACATATCAGCAAAAACTTGGGGCATACCTCGGACTTTGTCGACTTTCTCGGCAAAAGCAGCAAAATCCTCCACCGCCAATTTGGAACGACGACGTTTCTTCTTTGGTCCAAAAGTATCCTCAAAGGACTCAGTCTCTAACAAATGCACCTTCTTTTGCTGCAACAATGACACAGAAGAAAGCAATTCAGGGATCGATTCTGAACCCAAAATGCACTTGAAGCTTCGACCGACGTGCAGAATTCACGCAAATTAATCCTGTGGGGAACTCAGACAGAACCTTCATATTATCGTTCAGCAAAGCCAGCGGCAGTTTTTTGTCTTTCAATATAACAGTGTAAGAATCCGACACACGCTCCCGCATCTCTTCCCTGAACGTCTCCAACTCCTTCTGGCCCACAACCCGGGTGTTCCCAAACCAACGGCGGTCGGGCTGGATGCGCGTCGTCGGCAGGGCTTTGGACTGGTACTCATTCGACAGAATGTGCCCCTTGCTATTTCGCACAGGGCGCGACTTGTACATCTTAAGCCGGCGCACCGTGGCTGCCGTTCGAGTTCCATTCTTCCCATCACGCCTGCCCTCGTCCAAGGAATGCTTTGGCTTCCCCTTCACAGGCGCTGCCTTCTTGTTCTTCTGCTTGTTGGAGCCCCCCATAGCTGCTAATCTGTGATACAAAATTCGCAACTACCTAACAAAGACGATCGAGTACAAGCTCCTCACACACGGAGCTCGAAGAGCTCGGAGAAAAAGAGGCCGCAAGTAAAGCCCGAGACCTAAAATCCTCGTAGCATTCACCGACCTGGTGGTATCTATAAGAACGTGGGAGCGATTGTTCCCATCGATGGGAACCTTCAAGGAACGTAAGGGACCTTCTTAAACCTTGGCGAAGTAGGGTTTTGCGTATAATCTCCGAGCTCATCGTTGCGTCCAGTTTTACAAGTGCAAGATTTGTGAGCTCCAGGGCGCTGCGATGTCGCGGTACTTCCTTCGTGTAAGTGAACTGCTCCAGTAGCTGCACATGTGTTGAGATTTTTTCCGGGAGCTATTTAGGTTTGGAATTGGTTGAGTTTGATTAGGGCTAAACCCTAAAGCTGTTGGAATTTTAAGGGTGGAGGCCGTCCTGTTGAGATCTTCAGAATCCTTACGAGTTTATTGAGTCGAAGGGCACATAGAGCCTTGATTGGACACGCAAGCTATTGTTCAATTTCGATTTTTAGGGCAATAGGTTTTAGTGGTTGTTCGCATTCTCCGTGGTGCAATTTGTTTTGTACTTTGAACGGTGTGAATGGAGAAGCTTGCTTGTCTTTGCAGTATTCCTTTCGTTTGTCAAATTTTTAATGCAAAAGCTATTCTGGCTAAGAATGTGAGTGCCGTGTATTCATCTGAAAGTATTCTTTCGTTTTGTGGTACAGAAACCACTTGCTGGTCTATCTCCAGCAGTTACAGAAGGCCTGAGATGGCGCCTCTTCGATTGTAAAGGGGAGGTATGTTTCTTGTGTTCAGCGTTGGCGCGCCACAGTTCTGCTTCGCAAGATCTTCTAAGTCAACTTATATCGCAGTCCCTGTTCTTTTAACATGGAATATGCATCTGCTATTTTTCATGTTTCAGCTAAATCAGCCTTTTCCAGTCAACATGCCTAGCAGAGGTACTGCTAGAAATAATCACTTTATTTTGGGCTACAGTAATATGAAATTGCCATGCAGGTTTTGGGAAGACTCGCTTCACGGATAGCTGTGGTGCTACAGGGCAAAGACAAGCCCACTTACACTCCTCATGAAGATAAGGGCGACATATGTGTTGTCGTGAATGCGAAGGATATTACACTTACAGGAAACAAGTTAACCGATAAAAAATATTATTGGCACACAGGGTATGCAGAAGTTAAAGAGTTTTGCACTGAAATAATTCCATCAGTTGTTAGTATTTGTGTACAAAGTACCCTGCAGTTGGAGTGGGAATAATGGATGTGAAGCTATTTCATGATTTAATTGTGTGATTTTTGGCGTGACGATATTTGAACAACATTGCTGTAATTGTGCTCTTTTAGAACATGTTTTCTACACTATGTCTTGGTTAACAAGTCGGGATCTGTGTATTCCTGCAATCAAAGCGCATGAACCAAAATGTTTGTGTGGATGTGGACACAGCTACATAGGTCATGTGAAGGAGAGGACTGTTAAGGAACAAATGGTACGCGATTCAACTGAGGTGCTTCGTAAAGCCGTCCACCGCATGCTTCCCCGCAACAAGCTCCGAGATGTAAGTGTCTCCTGTTAGTGTTCCACCGGAACTTTCGGATGTTACTGAATGAATGTTGCTAATGGTATTTTGAAGTTTTCACGGCTGGAGAACTTGCAAGTTGAGCTGCAGAATTAAGTCGTGAAATTGGGTGGACTGTGGTCTTCTGGATTATTGTTAACATTAAGTTCACATGATTAGTGTTGAAAATTCCTTTTTGTAATTTATCTCCATGATTTTGGTTTCGCAGGATAGGATGCTGAAGTTACGTATATTCCCTGAGGAAGAGCATCCGTTTCCCCCCGAGCAGATGGATAAATTTGAGATGCCTCCACGCAAAGTGCGTGAGATGCGTCCGCGAGCTCGTCGAGCTGCTCTCCGTGCTCAACCAAGCACGACATCTCAAAAGGCTTAAAGTTGGGTAATTGTTAACTTGCAGATTGTACTCAAACTGCAGCTTAACCGACGTAGGAATAAGATCTTGCAAGAGTGTGTGACCTACTTCTTTGGAGATTCTAACATTGGCGGTCGTAATTGTCTCGATATTCTCACTGAGGCACGAATACATAGCTAACCCATATTGAGTTATAAAAAGAGTTTCCCTTTCGGTTGGCCTGTGGGAGTTCAACCTCTAGTGTACTGTCATCAAAAAAATTCAGGCTATCAAGTCGAAATGACTGTAGATGTTCATCTATTCAGCAATTGAGGACGACACAGAAGTGAGGGTGCTCTGAGCATATTTGTATACCTTCTCTGGAGTTTCACCGCCAGCTGTTCAAAAGTACCTTGGGCAGGAACGCTAGTAGTCCACAAGTAGGTAGGGAGCTTCCATAGACTTTTGAAGTAGGAGAAATTGGACTAATAGTAGAAATGAGGTTAAATCAACCATCGTTGCGAGTGGTTATTGTCCAGTAAACTCTTTTTATACTGAATGAAGAATTTAGTGTCACAAATTGATGTCACCTGCAATTGTGATCATGGTTTAAACTTGAAATGCTAATTATAGTAGACGGGTTTAATAGGCTTGAAGGTTGTGGGAGGGTGCAGATTGTTTTGTTGTAACCGCAGCATTTCCGAGGGAATTGAGCAGTTTTCAATATTGCAATCTCACCAGACATACATTACTGTGAATGGTCTGCAGTTGAGATAATCTGTTATACCAGAAGTTGGTACTTTCATTTTACTCATAAGTCAAATTTCCTTCTCAGTCAAATTTCTACGACAATTCTGCTGTGCACTAGCTACATGAAGGCTTTAGCCGTCTGGTTTTATCAAGCTTTTCCTACGAACTCCACGTCGAAGATGAGAGTTGAATTTGGCGGGATGAGGCACGAACCTGTTCAGCAAAAGCACCATGCCACGGTTTGTTACATAGCTAGTTTCAGACATGGATGTTTGCTGGTTTCGGTTTTGGAAGTAACGTTTACAAGAAACCCGATTACGGGGCATCTGCAACTCACATTTGGTTTCGAATTTATCTTGTGTTTTTTTAATTGAAGCACTTTTTCGTCAGCTAAAACCTTGTGAATTCTTTTATCTAAACATTCTGTGTAACTGGAAAATAATTCTTTCATATTTAGAAATTTTGTGATTTAGATGACTGAACCAGACGAGAACTAAAGGTGTTTCATTGGAAAAAACCTCTAAGAAGTGGGAATTCTATGTCTTAGAATATACGCATAAATTACTGAATATTATTAAAAAAAGAGAATTAGATTACACCAGGAAACGTTATCTGTCTACGCATTAAAAAATATTTAAAACTGAAATCCGGAAAATCTGAGAGAGCACAGATGAGAACGGATTAGAAATGTGGGGAAAACTCAACAGACAAGTGAATTGCTCCTTAGAAATGTGGAGTAGCAGTCATACCCAATCTGCAGCCAGCTCCTCTTTCGCCATAGCCAAGATTAGCAGGAATTTTCAAAGTTCTCTTTCCACCTACACATCACTCAACAAAGATGTGAGTTCTGATGCACACGCACACTCATACACACAAACAGTTCGTGTAGATCGCTTCTAACAGAGGAAAACGTCCTTCAATAAGGAAAGCACATCAATTGCAATGTCATGTATAGGTGAAGAGGCTTTGCGACCTGCTTGCATGGCTGGGATGCCATCAGCTCCCAAAATGCCTTGGTCCCACCCCCGGATAACCTGCTCAACATCACAAGAATTTCTTTCAATCTGGCAGTTTCTGGGTCGACTCTAGTTGTTCACGAAATTTGAGGAATTATCCAGTTTGAGAGGCTCAATCAGCCTATCATGAACTCCCTTCACTATCAAACCTCTCGAATCGGAAAAAGTTGGCAGCAGTGGCTATTTCATTTCTCTCAAATAATACATTGTGCGATTTCTTAACAAATATATTTAAGCCGAATCTGAGTTCGCAAAGGTATGTTTGGGGAACTACGTACCTCACCGACACCGACACGGAAGGTGAGGGGCTTCCCACGTTTATAGCTGCTATCGAACGTGCTTCCGTTCTCTAGCCTTCCCGAATAATGAGCCTGCCCAATCCGCACAATTTCAATATATCAGTCTTCCACCATAGCAGTTGTCGCAAACGGCAGTCCGAGACAATCCACACTGTCGCAGCGAGTTGCAAACTCCATCATTCAATCCATGGTGCTCAATCGAAGCTTAGAACTAAGGAGATGTGTCAATACAACTTTCTCTAAAAGATAATCTTATGCTATTTATCACAAAACTTCCAAAAATAGCCCCAACCTCTGAAGCTGCCAAGTAACGAGAATAGGCTAAAGAGCGAGTGAACACCTTGATAAGCATGCCCTTAGAAGCAGTGATCCCACTTCCAATTTCAGAATCGCAGTAAGCCAGTCCAGAGGCAGTCACATTGAACTCTCCACAAGTAGCCTGAGCTGCATTGGCCTCCGGAGGAATCGCCATTGCCTGCAAGCCATGAAATTCCATGGCCAAAATTCCACCCAACCCCAACACCTCTCTCCTGGAACATGACGCACTGCTCTTCTCAGCGCTCGGCTCCGCAGCCCGAGAGCACACAATTCCATTTCTGCGAGGCCCTACAGATACAGAACTAGCAGGAGAAGAAGAAGAAGAAGAGAGCTTCCTGACGGCAGATTGGATGCCGCATGGTTGAGAGAGTAGAGAAGAAGACGAGACGGTGCAGTGCAGGGATGCCATGGCTGCCACAGTTCTCGATGGTGGTTAGATGAGATGTGGGGCTTCTTGTGGCTTGTAAATATCACCAAGTTCTTTAAACCATTTTGCTGATAAAAAGGCTTTAGAGTGATATGATGAAAACTGTGAAGGAGAGGGATGATGCAGTCTGGTGGAATGTTGAAGTGAACGGAAAGCATTCTCGACGAAACGTATGGATGGAAGCGGAAAGTGATTTAGTGTGTGACGAAATCTTTTGATACGACTACCTCTGTTGATGAAGCCGCCAAAATTGGGGATGAGGAGTTCATGAAATTTCAAGTGGGTTCCTCGCGGCCTCTCTGAGAACAGAGTTGTACTTCGATAGTTTGGGTTGAATATCCTCGTCAGGGTCTATGCTTGCAATGTCATGAATTATATATTTCTGATAATGATTGTGCATTAGTGTGCAGAATTATTCATTTGAGGATTTCTTTGCTTCCTCGGGAAGCTTGCGTTATGCCGCTCAGAAGGCAAATTTATGTGCAACGGCGTCGATCAGTCATTGATATGACTACTCAAAGTAGGTCTATCAATGCAGCTGCTGAAGTTCTCAAGTGTTATCGTTAAGTTTTGCTACTAACGTTCACGTTGCTCTGTCTTACTTCAAAGAAAATTTTAGATTTTGAATTTCGGCTTTGATTTGACAATTTTCTTGTATTGATATGCTAAGTCAATTTGTGGATAACCAGCAAGATGATGAAGTGAATTATAACGCTTATTTGATTGCCTCTGTGGTTGAGAGACGAAAAATCAAGCACTGCATCCACCATGTCTACTAAGGGCCTTCTTTCAATGAAGTGTTCTTAGCCTTTTCTTTTCTTCTCCTTTATGTGATCTACGGTGTTCTTTTCAATAAGTGCAATGCATTCAGTTCATCGATGATACCACCTACTCTGCGTTAAAAGCAATTACTCTTCGTTCTTATTCCTGTAAACAAAGTTAGTTTGTGATAATTCGGAATGCAGGGTCTAATTGTTTGTTCTTGGGCAGGACAAGAGGACTGTCCCTTCGGCGTCTGCAGTCTCAGTGCAGAGAGTTGCGTTCACATCCGATGTCTTCGGCTTTTTGTTTAGTTTAGTTTAGTTTTTTTGGTTGTATGCTTATAACCTCTTATTGACTTTCTCGAGAGCTGTTAGTTCCAGTTTCAGGACATATCATTTAAAGCAGCCAACATATCCTGCCATTGCTGCTAACAATCAGGCCATCTTTGGTTCTGTTGGAGCTCTTGTTTTCAAGTGATGGCGTGTATTCAAGGCATGCCAAAGTACTGAATCCTGCTTTTGGAAGACCTTGTACGAGGATGTGCTGTAGAGAAGGATGTACGAGGACATGCAAAAACCTTCTTCTAGGGTGGTGACCTAGTTTTGAGGGTAGTCAGTGAGACGGATTTCATGCCTATATGAAGAAGTCTAATTGACAACCCTATTTTTGCGTCACACTTTATCTGGACCTGTTTTAATCGTCAATTGCCTCATTTGCTTGCAACCAGGTTTGATTTCGGCGGAGTTATGTGTACCACGTTCCATCATTCATTCGAGACATCCATAAGAATTGGATAAGGTGTCATTCTTCGTTCATTTCTCATCGTCAATGGTGTCTTTTATTTTCATCCAGTGCTAGAACCTTGAACACTTGCCAGATTTGCAAGACCATGAGGTTTATGGTGCAAGAAACTCTTCTTCAGTGGTCCTCTGCGCGTTGTTAACTGTAGAAAAGCTGAAACATTGCCCTTGCAGTGGTATAGGTTGCGTCATTTCTCTACTTGTGAATGAGACGGCGTTAAGGTCCTCTTTTACGCGTATGAACCTCGTCACTTCCCTTGGAGGTTTGGTAGTGTTTTTATTCGTAGTGTCATCAGTATTGGTGCATCTTTCTTACATTGGTTGCTGTAAGCCGTGGCCATAGTCATGGTTATGGCTTCCAGTTCTGTTCTGCGAGCCCCAATTGGTTCTATTCTTGATACAGGCAGGATATCTAGTGTTAAAGATTTTGCATCTCCGCCAAGTGGAGGCTATGTGCAAGTGATTTCGGAAAATTCTCTAGTTAATTCTTTGAAGGTAGGATTGTCTTGTTTGGCTCTTAGTGAGAAAGCCGTTCTAAAGGGTGTAAGATGGAAAGGAAGAATGCCGGCGAGGTGGAATGGTGTACACCAATCAAAGCGTCTTGTTGCGCACGCACGAGCGCTGGTGAGTCTTAACTACTTTTGACTTGTGAGATTGGGGTCTTGAATTTTACATTATTCTTTCTTTAAACCTCAAACAAGTGCGGTTACTCAGTGGTATTGCCTCAAATGAAATTGAGGTCCCCTCTCGTTAATTCTAGGACTATCTGGAAATTTTTCTGCCTTCGGTGCTCCCTGGCAAATGTCGCTTACATCTTTCAAACTTCGGAAACACCCATTTCACAAATTCTGAGATAGACGTCCTGGGTGACTTTCTGTAAACGACGTGCCTAGTTAGAACCATCAATGGGGCGTTACTTCATGGCTGCTGAGGTCGTTTGAATTGAAGACCTGAATATGCAAACACTCAGAGTACACTTTCGGTTTATTCAAGCTTGCGTTAGTCGCATTTTGATATAGCTCGTTTTCATGTTCAAAATGATAAATCTGTTGTAGAATTTCAGTGTTCATATTTATAATGAATATCTTTTTTCCCCCTAGCACTTTTTATTCTGCAATCTTAATATGATCTTGTTTGGTGAGTATTCCGATCAAAGCGTCACCCTTCATTAGGCTTCTTGTATTCTTACTAACTACTCCTTGTTTGTATCCTTTCAGAAACTCGCATTTAAAGTCAGTGGCTCATTTATCATTTAGGACGAAAGTATAATATGTTCTGATTGATTCAACTGTCTGGAAGCTGCATGAATCTTGGTTGTCTGTTATTTTTGAAGTCTTCTTTGCTGTCTGACTAAGCGGATCCTTCTTTCTTTTGGATGCAGGGCTCAAGTGGAATTGGCCAAAAGCCATACACTGGGGTCATGATAGTACCTACGGGAACTGGCGCAACCATAGGAGGGTTTGCAGGAGATTCTTTGCCAGTAGCTCGAGCAATGTCTTCTGTCGTCGATTGCCTCATCACTCATCCCAATGTATGCTTTCAATTACCTGATGATTTGGTGTAATAAAGTTCTGATGGTTATCTTTTCTGTATGTTGTCCCGGGTGGAAGTGTATTCACTCTGCTTTGAAACAGGTTCTGAATGGAGCTATGCTGCACTGGCCGATGGCAAGCACACTATATGTAGAAGGATATGCACTTGATCGCTTTGCAGAAGGATATTGGGGTCTCCAACCTGTCCATCAGAATAGAGTTTGTTCTCAACCCATCTTTATATAGAGAGAATTTTTGAAACAATCATGAATATCACTAAGTGTTTTAATTTAGTTTGAAGTTGAAATGAGATCTTAGTGAACTACTTGCCATTGTTAGTTAGTGCTTGAACGCAACTTTTTTGTTTAATTTCTTCGACAAGTCAGCAATTTAAGGTCCTGTATATTCTCGCTGGATTCTAAGAAACATGCGGTGCTGAATCAACACGCCTATGAACTTAACTCACTATTTTTTTCGGGTTTTTTATGAAAACTTCTTTAACTCAACTTCTGTTTTTAACTGGGAAATATAGGTTTGAGAATGTCATATTAAATTCGGACGTTGTTACCCGCGCTCAGGTTGGATTAATCTTGGATATGGGTATAGAGGAAGAACTTATTCAAAGGCATCTTCAAGTAGCTGATGCAACACGGGCTACTCTTGGCCTTCCTGTCTTGGAGTATACTATCACGGACGCGCCCTTACAAGTAAGATAAATTTCTGTCACATGTAATTGTAACAAATTATATCGAAAATTTGAATCTTCAATAGGGTTGGAGAATCACGGTTAGAACACACTTCACATGTACATACAGTTGACATCACCTTGTCACCCGTATTTTTTTGTGAATAAGTTAGGTTTACAATGCAATTCTTGCAGGTAGAGAAATGGCTCGATCCACGCACAGGCACATCAACTGGAAGGCTTGGCCGACCTGACTCCTTGTTGAGAGCTGTTGAAACATTAATGAAAGGTGCCAGTGTTGACGCTGTTGCTGTGGTGGGGAGGTTCCCTGATGACAGTGTTGACGAGCTGGTGGACTACCGCCAAGGTCAGGTCAGATGAACGAAAAAGCTACTTCCTAAATTCCCTTAAAAAAGTGACCGAGCATATCGTGAATTCTTTCTTTCTTTCTTTCTTTTATCATCAGTATTTTTTTCCGTGAGCCTGAATATTTACCACGCTCTTGATGCAGGGAGTTGATGTTTTAGCTGGAGTGGAAGCAGTGATAAGTCACATGGTTGTTAAGGAATTTGGAATTCCATGTGCTCATGCTCCTGCGCTTTCACCGTTGCCTCTGGATGCGTCCATATCCCCTCGATCTGCAGCAGAAGAGGTCAACAATCTGTGAACATGTTGCATTGTTCATTGTTATCGAACTAACTAAGCATTCACTAAGCTATTGTGTACTCTTAGGATTGACAAAATTAAATTGTTTAGCTAGGACTTTAATTGTCATTTGGAAATGAATCGTGACATCCCTCTGGGTTTGAGATCGTTCTCTTGTGACTGCTTACAGTATAACCATCCAATATCATCGGTAGCTATGTACTTTCATCTCACGTTTTGCTGATCAACACATGTTTGTAAATGCTATAGATAGGATATACTTTTCTACCTTGCGTGCTGGCCGGTCTAAGCAAGGCGCCTCAATTTATTGAGAGAACGAACAGAAGCGGTGCAGGAACAGTATGGGCAGACGACGTTGACTGTGTGGTGGTGCCTGCAAACGCTTGTGGAGGAGAAGGAACTCTTGCGCTGTGTCGAAAATCAGGCCGCAAGGTAATTAATCTAAGATATTGTATTTATGTCAAGCTACACTGGCGAATATCTCCACCACTTATAGGTTTTGTCAAGCAACGCTCGAGTCAAAGTCCATCGATCTGGTATGAGGTCAAATAATGGGGAACAGATCTCGCTGCGGTACTCGGTGGCTTCTCTAGAAGTGATGGCATTGATCATCGCAGACCGTTTTGTCCTTTTGATTTGTTTCCAAATTCTCAGTACTACTGTTTTGGTTGTGCAGCCTCTTCTCATCGCTGTGGAGGAGAATGAAACGGTGCTGGATGATACACCTGAGAAGATGGGACTGGTCAATGTGGTACAATTTCTGAACTATATCTGACTTTAACTTCAATATGCACTATAAATAAGCGAGTTTGTGTTTTTTGGTCGAGTTCGAGGTCTGAACCTCAATTGTTCTCCGACTTGCATATTCTATGTCTCGTGCAAGACTATTTGATATCATTCAGTCCAAAATTTTTAATCTAGGTTGCCGATTTGGCAGGTGCGGGTTGCGAACTACTGGGAAGCTATAGGTGTTATCGCAGCCCATAAAGCAGGTGTTGATCCCAAGGCACTACGTAGGAGCGGCGTGAGTCATCTGCACAGGCTTGAGACTCCCAGGCATGCCGAGGCTAGTCGAAGTGCCTTGAAGGGACTGGAAAAGGCACCCATAGCTATGACGGGAGTCCGCTAATACAAACAATTTTTAAGGATAGCATTTTTTGGCATTCATTCATGGCTGATGAATTTTTGTCATTATGTACCAGCCACCCAAAAATGAAGCAAATTGCTCCATTTTACTGACCAGAGAATTTGTATCATATTTAATAGTAGAATGTCATATGACATTGGAATTTTAAGTTTCTGGGCATGTGCCTTTGCCTTCAAGGGTACGAGCTTTCTGTTCCATGGAAACACTGATTGCAATCTATGAAGGCTCTTGTGCTGCGAACTGTTATATCTAGAACATACTACGTAGCAAAGCGTTGAAAAAGAGAGACTAGATAGAGATAGACGGAAGTACACCTAGTTATGGCATTCTGGTGTCCGGAATTCACTATAGTCCGGTTTTTAACAACTTCACATGACATTGCATTGACTCATCTATCTTCAATGCATTTTCTTAGTTTTTCCGTATTGATCAAAGGCAAATAGCCGTTGCTTTTAACACTCGTCTGATCAACACTATCAGTTATAAAGGTACCCGACTTCATCTTTAACACCAAGGATCAGAGCTCAGAGCCTACGGATTCAACCGTCACCTCACTGTGTCGCCAATATCGCAGCGTCCATCACATTGTAAGGACGATCCTAAATGATTTGAGTTAATTTCAAGGTACGTGTCCCCCACATGAAGAAGCATCTGCTTGCAGACGATTATATCATGTCAGGGCGATCGCTGAAGAATTTCGTAACTTGCATGCGGCGAATTTGAGCAATAGCTTTGCCAGGATTGAGGCTCTTCGGACATGTGCGTGCGCAGTTCATGATCGTGTGACAGCGTCCAAGCTTGAACTCGTTGTCCAGGTAGTCGATTCTTTCGAGGGTGTACTCATCTCGGCTGCACCCACAAATTGCAACACACAATTGTAATGCGGATTCAAAACTACGCGGCTGTATGAAAGCACCAGGTTTAATTTTGCTACTCTCTCCTGCACCTCAACTGGTAGAACCAGCAACAATTTTTTAGAGTTTTAGATTGTGCAATATATGTACCCGTTTGCTCACATACTTAACATACATGCAACAATGGTAACAACTTTCATTTTGTACAAGCTTAGTCCTCGCCATGATAATTTTCAAAGGGTTTAGCGTGACGTGCCTATCCATGATCCATCGATTTGCCGCTAATAAAGGCCGCTGGACCAAGGAACTTCTCTTGGTTCCACCAGTAAGAAGGACATGCAGTGTTACAGCATGCACACAAAATGCATTCATAGAGCCCATCCAGCTTCTTACGGTCTTTTTTCGACATCAAATACTCTTTGTTCTCAGGAGCAGGCTTTCTGGTTTTCAACCATGGTTCCACAGATCTGACACATCCGTATGACCAAATTAAAACTCAGTTATCCTTGGGTGACTTGGTTCAGGTGCTCATGTGCTTCTAAATGTCAAAAGCTAAAAACCCTCAAACTCGAAAACGAGAGTAAATGGGCATCTTACTTGTACTGCTGGCAGAATTGCGTCATGTCTACGACCAGATCTTTGATCACATACATGTGCGGCAAGGGCGTGATGGTGGTCACGTGCTTGGGGTCCATATTGACGGAACACAAACACGCCACGGTGTTGATTCCGTCAATATTCATGGAGCATGAGCCACATATTCCCTCTCGGCAGCTCCGCCTATACACCAGCGTTGGGTCTATCTCGTTTTTTTATTTTACCAAGCACATCCAACACCTGCTATATTTACATCGAAGCTTTTGCTCATGAAACCGCACCAAAGAGTTTGGTAGTCAGGAATTCTCACTTTAAGGCTTTCGTAATCAAAGGATGTTACGTTCTCTTCGAAACATACCATTGGACCACACTTGCTGATGTCAACGAAATAGGACTTTAAGTAAGGCTTGCCTCCATTGTCAGGATTCCACCTGTAAATTTTGAACTCCTTCGTGGTTGTGGATTTACTTGTGCCAGCTTGCTTCTTGGCTACTTTTTGGTCCCCCAACACATTGTCTTTAGTGATACAGACGTCCTTATGTCGCGGATCGTCGACCTTCAAGTTCGGGAGCATGCTCATATTGCGCACATGGTGACCAGAAACGGCATCGTATGATTTGATGCTCTGCAACAGCACTGGTAATGTCTTTCGGTGCGCCATGAGGTCCTGCGTCGCATTAGAGTTACAACTGAAAGATTAGCTCGGATCCACTCAAAATTCGGCGTTTGTGGTGCAACCTCCGTGGAAGGCACATGCAATAACCCACATAATTCTAATTGCTCAGCTTAGTAAGAACAGATTGAAGCATCTCAACCACAAATGGACATTGAAACACACAAACCATAAGCATCTCGATGAAACAGTATGCATGGAAGGCCTGTCAAGAAGAAGAAAAAGAAGAAGAAACCTGAGTCTAGACACGAATGTATAAAAAAATCGAAGGTGCAGCGGAGGCATTTCTTCGAGGCACACACCTGATCGAGTGTCAATCACTTGGGTCGAATTCAGCGTCCGCTCCTGGCACTGAAAGTCCTGTATGTTTCCACTTCCTCTGCTGCAACCAGGTTCCTATCCAATAAAAACCAGCTCAAAAGAAAGACATGTATACGAATCTTCAGGCCGACTGCGGCAAAATCACAGCGCCGTATGTTGAAAACTAGGCCTGCATTGCCACATGTAGCTCAGCATGATCCAGTGAGTTTTGTGCATGCCAAGCGTCTCCGGCACTGTGACCCAACATTTTCCACTGGGCTCACAGGGGGTATCGATCGATGTCTCACGCAAGGGCTTTTGGGTTATCAATACCGCGACGAATGAGATATTGGTGAGGGCTTGTGAGCCTGGGATGCACTGCCATGAGGGCGCTGCTGGCGTCCGATCGATGCTGTGACTTGGCTCCTGCTCCGTAACCATACGGTGAACTGCTGCATGGCCGATTTACAGCCGCAGGTGCTTCGTTTTTAAAGTTTTTATTTCTTCTTTACTTTACTTCACCGACTAAGATCTTTCAGGTAGGTGTCGCCACTAATTGATAATCCTTCGAACATTAAAAAATCAAATATATATCGACCGATATATTTTGTTGACTAAGATAGAATGTGAATTTTCTTTTACACTTGCTGGAGTCAACCGTGAAGTGGTCCTTTCACATTTTACTCTCTCCGCTACAGTCTGATATAATATTGAACTTCGTATACTTTTTGAAACTGTTGTCTATTTTGTAATAAAGCTTTTCCTTGTAACTAGCAACACAATCACCCTAAATTCCGTGAGTATCTTCAATTTATTCTATTCGATAACTCCTAAAATTTGACTCTCTTTCATCACGAGTTTATTATAAGATTTATTGTCAAATAGTTGCCGAAAGTTTTAAATTCGCTGCGGGTAACATTTCAACCACTGGCATACAAAATCAAACAATGGATTAAACAATGTGGGCAATCCACTACGACGATCTGGTTCAACGATGGTCTTGGTGACGTAGCTCGTGTCAAAATTTGCGACGCAAGAGAAAGAGATAAAGACAGATGCTTATGGTTGTGAATTTGGAGGGTTACAGTTAGCTGCGCAAGACGTGGAGCTACAACGCAAGGGGAGGAAAAGTGAGGAAAGCAAGAGGGGAGGCCCACCAGTTGCAGATGTCACACTAAATCGACCTGCTCAAACGTGGAGAAAATCAGGGGCCGCCCATTTGTGTGCTCCACTGCCGTCGTCGCCTCCGCTCCTCTCATTTCAATCCCTTCAGCTCTGCTCTGTCATTGCGTCACATTTAGTTGTAGATGTCACCCAGTTTCTACCTTAGAAGCTCCTAGCTCATCACGCCTGCATTCAACCCCTCATTGGAACAACTACTTACGGTTGTAGATAGCCCTTATTTTCGTTACAACCAGCTCCGGAGCTTTGCAATTGCTGGCGACTCTTCAAACCGTGCAGGAAGTGCTTGAGCTTCCACAACAATCCTCTGGTGTTCGTTGCACCGTCTAACTGGGGTACCAATTGAGGGAATTTTTTTCTTTTTTGTAAGTAAATGTTATGTTGGATACTTGTTCGCCCGTTGTTGCGATAAGTTCCGGTGGGTCATCGGCTGTCGAGCTGCCGAGATTGTGTTGGTGAATTCAGAGATTAGAACTACCGAATGAAATCTGAGGCAAGCAGGATTGTCGTTACGAGTTGGAGAATTTGGTTCAAGTTTCCCTTCAGCGGCTTGGCCTGACGGAGCTTCAGAGTTTCTGAATCTTCATACCGGGGTTGCGAGATTCTGGGTTTTGAAGGTGCTGCAGAGAGTTGTATCTGCTTCTTCTGGCTTCCTACAGCTTCTTCGATCTCCTTTTCTACGTCACCGCACTCGATTCCTCTCAATCTCATTGTAGATAAGATGCTAGTCCTTGTAGGACCAGAGAGTGTCACTTCACCATGCATTGGCAGCAGCGGCAGTGCCAGGGCGCTCGATCCTCAAATTGGAAAATTCTCATTGCAGCGTGGAAAATCTAGGGTTAGGTTAGTAAGAGCAGGGATTGGAATGCGGAAGATGGAAAACTTGAGGATTAGAGTGCTTTCACGAAGGTTACATTGTGACCAATTCAGTCCCCGGCCAGCCATACAGTCGCGTAGAGTAGTAAGGTACGCAATCTCAGCTTCGAGCTTCAGCAAAACATGCCCCACTCTGAGAATTCTTTTATGGTAATTTAATTCATGGTCCTGTAGTCTTCGCGCTATCTCGAAGAACTAGATACTCTATTTACGGTACTCACCTGAATGAATCTCTGTATAGGAGATTGTTGAGAAGGCGAAATATCACATGTTAAATATGCAAGATGAGTTTTTAAATAATTCCTTCGTGGCTACAGATCACAAGCACAAGATGACGATTACACAACTGAGGTCTCAACATCGGACGCCAAACAGGAGAAGGAGCAGGAAATGATGATGGGATGGAGATTGAAAGCTGTTGAGGCTGTGACTTCAGTCTTCCTTGTTTTCGGCCCTGGGATCGACATGAATGACAAGGTAGTCACATTCTCAAGTGATGCAGCGATGGCATCTGCAAACCCCATTGCTAACGTAAGTATCTAGCAAGCAGGTTGTGGCTACATTGTAAAAGGTTTGTAGGTGAAATCTGAGCAAAATTTGAGGTGGGCTGCCAGTACTCTTGCAGAACGTGAGGTTGGTTTGGTGCTGTGGGCTTGGCTACTGGGTATTACATTGCGAGGCGACGTGTTGATCTTTTTTATCACCCTGTTTCTGGCAGATGCGGGCTGGGAGCATGTTGATGGATAAGATGGTCGGAGGATTCAAATCAAGCAAGGTATTGACATGGTGATTGGAGATACATTTCGGAGTTTTTAATGAACGACTATTTTTATCAATTTAAACTGTGTCACTAATTGTTGGCTAGGAGGTCTTTAGAGCATTATTCATACTACTACATCGAATTGAAAGGACTGCAAAAACATTTTGTGAAATTGTAGCCCAAGATTTCGTTAGTTGTAACTAGGAAACGGCAGCTATAGTTTTATTGATACTACCTAAGCGTAGACTTTTGTTGTATACTTGGAATTGATGTTCTCTTTCATTTGAAGTCCTTCTCTTAAATTTTAAGGTGAAGTTTCAATTAATACATAAGCGCAATTCGTCGATATTCCCATGTTAGGTATGACTATTATTATTGGTTTGACCACCGAGTCTTGTAGGATTTACTCTTGTTGCTTCTTTTTCTCTGCTTTTTATTTCCCCCGTGCAGGTCCTTGACAAAGTGGTGACTGTGGTCAGCGGGCAAGTTGTCGTGAGTATGCAAACCACTCATTGTAGCATTTTGTTCCTGCAGCATATTGCATATGAGTGCATTATACATGAAGGTTACCAGATCTTATAATGTCATTCTGTCCTTATAGAAAGTAAAGAAGTATGTCGCATGGGTCATAGTACATGCAATTACAATGTCGATAGTGAGGTGGTGATGCAATCAACGTCAAATAATGTTTTGTTTGGTTTCGTTTGTGATTGACTTCATGAAAAATCGCTAGCACTTAAATTTCGAGATTCGTAGCACTGATGCCTGCATCTTGGATGAGCAGGTAAACCCGGACGAGTTGGAAAAGGACATCAAGGAGATCATAGAAAAACCAGTATGAATTTCAACCGCTCCTTTATTTTTTGTAACTTGGATATGACGAGATTCTTGACAGTACTTTTTGAATTGTTCCATGAAACATATCGGTTGAAAACTCCTACAAATGGTTTTGGGTTAATGAGTCGTTTAGAATTGCCGTTAATAGCACATTCATGTTGAATTTATTATGCAGTGTTGTTCGGTCGTTCGAACTTTGTTTTGTTAGAATTAGTGCTAATCAGATAGTTTGCCGTTGATTCTGTAGGAAAGTTTCGAGAAATGGCGGAATGGATTGCTTGATAATGCCATTGATACGATTGGCTCAGCAGTTGACGGTATTAGCGCAGCAGTGGACGCGGTCTGTTCTTAGTTCTGTCCCTCGACTCTTTTTAGCATGAAATGTGCTACTGTTGTAATAGATAACTATTTTCTAGGACTGCTCTTGAATAATTCTCTTCTTGATTATTGATCTCTGCAGCTTAAGCTGTCCTTTGGTCGACTTCGGAACATGCTGTTACAATTTGGCACCATAACAAGTTTTAAGCTTGGTCATGTATGCACTTTCTGGGGTGTAATATGTAGATGTTACTCCAAAGCGCCTCTGTCACATGATGAATCTGTTAATTGTCGTTTGTGATTTTCTAAAATTGGACGAAAATTGTACTTCAGGTGACCCATCTCTCACCTCAGGGACTACAAGAATCAGTGTCCACATCTGTGGCAGGTGTATTCGAAGTTGGAGCTGAGAGGGTGTGTGCTTCATCATAAACACGCACAACTTGAACATGGAGTGCAGATGTTGCTGCGTTTTCACAAATTCATCTCATGTATTTTATTGCAGCATGCGTGACCAAAGCGGTTGAAAAATATTAATGCATACACTGACGATTTGTTCCTTATCAGCATTCTGTGCTGATCTGTTACTGAAATTATCCTACTCCTTGGCATGGTTGTGCAGTTTGCCGCGTTTGAGCTGCAATCTCTTGTGGGATTGACCGAGAGATGGCTCATCTACATACCTCTAGTAGTTCTACCTATGGCATGGTAATTTTTTGTTCATCATTCCCTAGTTAACAGGAAAGATGCGTCCCCTCATTTGCTTTGGATATTTTTGCAACTTTGTTGCATGTCAGAGTCTATCGGTCATGTACAGATATGAATGTGTAAGAGTTCAACTTTCCAAGTTCTGATAGATTCTATACCGTGATGAACCGAATACTGTGTATTTCTTCATTAATGATGGCACTCTTGTGACATTGCTTGGATTACGCAGGCAAATGAGGGCTCGGAGTAGCGCGGCAGCTGCAGATGCACGTGAAAGGTATGCTTACTTGTTTAGATTATGTTGTTATCAATCTATTTGGGGTAATGGGGACGGTTTTTGGGAATTTCGACCTACAGGAGGGTATCTCCCAACGAAGAAATGCTGCGTTCCCACGCTTGTTACTTTGATCGTGCGGGTGGAAAATTACTTTCTCTTCTACACAGAGTATTCATTTTTATTGTGATGATCAAGCAATGCAGAATAGGACGAAGAGAACAATTTATACTCTAATTGTCGGATCTTCCTGTCGTGATTTATATTGGCATATATCTTGGTAGTATTTAATGATGCGTAGGTGCAAATCTTTTTGTTCAGAGATGATAGGCGATTAGTTGTTTCTAAAGAAGTCGAGGCAAAGGCTGAACGAGTGCGTCGGGAACTAGAACGAATCAAATTGAAAGCATCTCTAATGGATCTCATCAATTCAATGGGAGAGGTACTTACAAATTCTGTTTAATGTTTCTATCCGCGAGTAATAATTTCGCAACAAACTCGTTATCTGTTTACGGCTTTAGAATGTAGAATCTGTATAGTATTTTGAGAAATGTTAGAATTGCTACAATTCTCGTAGACAAGCGAGCTTCGCATCTTTAAATGGCTTGATTTCAGAAAATATCACGGAATTCATGATTTAAGATGATCCAAATTGTTGTGTTCAGGTTGCCCTGCAGCGATTGCAGAATGGAACACAGTCGAACAGCTCGGAAATCTCTGATATAGTGAATCAGTTGAAGACTATGAACCCTGGTTATGAAGTGCAACTTAATCCTCGAGACCCAGGGTCAACAATGAGATCTGGCAGTGCTAATGATGCTTTTTCCACCATTCCAGCTGCTCCACAGTTGGACGGCGAATGGAAATTAGTGTAAAACTTCATTCATTCTGCCTATCTAGGATATGTGTTCGAATATGGATTTGGGATTAGCTTAACATTCGCAAGCACTGGTTTTGTAACGTTTGATTTCAAAAACTTTAGTAGGATCTTTGTATAATTCTGTGAAAAACTTTTCAAACTTATTTTATGTGACCTTATCTTTGCCAGAAAAACTGTAAAATGACAATCAGACGTGGTTCTTGCAGGTATACATCACAACCTCTTCAAAATAGGGATTTACCTCAAGTACCCGGTGTTGAGATACATAACCCACGACAGCAAGTTTGGAATCAAGGCTCAGGCTCAATAGTAAATATAGATGCTGACACGGCAGGAAGCTCTCTTCTCATGGCGAAAAATGTTGCAGAGCTCAGGTACTTTTACAAAGTCGACTGAACTAAATCAACTGCTTCTTTTGCATGATGCTTTTGTAAATTCAAGTAAGCATTTTATTTATTCATTTATTTATTTATATAACCCTTGTTTTTTGTTTAGGAAACATCTGGGTCAAATTTTAATCTTTTTGTTGATGAGTGGGGGATTTTTCTAACTCGACTAGTGTATGTCTCCTGTAGATTAGGACCTCTTGGACTTGTTGAGGTTGCAATCCAAGGGAGTTGGGAGAGTCTACGTAACGGACAAGCTGGCCTTGTCTCATTTGACACGTTTTTAGTTCGTCCCAAGGAGATTCTAGGCACTCTATTTGATGATGATTTGCCACCCGTAAGCTTCCCTTTACCTCAACAATTTCAATCAACTGCCGAATGGGAAGTACTCTACCTGGATGAAACCCTGCGAATAAATCGTGATCAGCAAGGTGAACTTTACATCTTCACCAGGAAGGCTTAGCTTTGTATGTACACTTACATCTGTAGTAATACTGGGCATTTTTCATACTGTGAAGTGAGGGATGGTGTCCAAACAGGTAGTCATCCGACACATTTCTGTTGTAGACACTGACTAGCAGGTTGGAAATTCCCAACCTCATGCTTGTCGAATTAGCTGGTAATATAGATTTTTCCCCTTGATGTCTCAAAGTTCTCATATTGTGCATCTACAGAGTTGTATTCATCAGCAGGAAGCATTTGCAATGTAAATTAGTGCTGAATTTACAAACACCGGAATATCATTAATTTCATGTTCATTAGTTTATTGCTAGCTGTACACGTCATGAACGATTTTTTTTAACAAGTTCTACTTTGTACCTACCTGTTCAGTTGTGTATATTAAAGAGCCTGTTGAATTTGTCATTGATCGTTTTGAACTACATGCACAGTATTTTTTCAAAGTGCCACGCCTGAATTCGAGAAGTTGTATCTCATGTATACAAGACATTGTGTCTGAGCTCCTCCAGGAAACCAACTTTCGTTTGTCGAATATAATATATACGAATCCTGGTTTATTTGTAAAATGTCATCTGTTTGTGAATTCAAATGCTAGACCTTGTGTGTCAGCCCATGTAAAACTTTTCTAACATTTTGTAACATGATTATGGTTCATGAAGTATTTTTGTACTCTTTTCACAAGGAACATGGTCTTTACTAACGTTGAAAATTTTATTTTAACGATTATCAACAGCAAATGCATTTTTCAACGACAGAGATTGAAAGTAAAATAAAATAAAAACAAAAACAAAAGTAAGAATTCTACGTCACACAACGTCTTCAATATAAATTATAATTCTGCATGTATTATAATAAAGCGATAAAATGGCAACAGAAAGCTTAAGTCGACGTGGAACTGTCTCACAAGATACATGGTTTACAACACCTACAGAATGCCCAAAACACTTCTTCTTCTTTCTTTTTTTTTTCCTTACCCGACATTTAATTCTTATTAAAAATATCACCCATCCCCAACCAACTTTTGAACAGATCATTTCATTCTGACCAAAGGCAACCCTAAAGGTGATTGCAAGTAACAAGAGTGGACACCATCAAACGAAGAAGAAAAACCAGTGTCGGATTTAGAGTGGGCCACACTAATTAGAAACTAAAATGGACCACCACCACGTTAGGAATATAGTAAACGAGAAGGGAACGTATAAGGGAACATAAAAGGGAACGCAGAAGAGAAACCATAAGGGAACGAATCAGGGAACGGGGAACGGCGCTAGGGTTGGGAGGTGCTGAAGAAGGAGCACACACTTAAAGGAGGACGAGGTTTCTCGCACTCTTTCCTTTTGCTGTTGCAGTGCCACGCTGAGCTTCGAAGCTACGTAGCCACGCTCCTTCGTCGCCATGGGTCGCCGTAAGCCACCTCCCCCCTCTCTTCCCCATTTTTGCTCTTCCTCGTGAGCTACATAAGTAGTGCCAAGCCTCCCAGTTCTAATTTCACTCTCGTCCCTCTCTTACTTCAATCACCTTCTCCGTCGCTCTGACCAGTTTTTTCTCTAATCGTAATCTCCGGCTCCGTCGTCATGGGCCGTCGTGAGTTTCACCCGACTTCTTCAGTGTTTGTTGCGCTTGCACGCGAAGTGCCCATTTCGTGTCGTGTGTAGGGTTTCGATGTAGGCTTCGTTTATGTTTTAGGGTTTTGGAGTGTTTGTGTTTTAGCTGGAGCAGATTGAATTGTGTAGGGCTGTTCTGGTTTAGGACTCTGGGTGGTTGTGATTTGTCGCTGTTGTTGATGTGGTGCGGTGTTGGCGTTTGTTTTTGATTTGTAGGTCCGGCAAGATGCTACAGGCAGATTAAGAACAAGCCTTATCCCAAATCCCGCTTCTGCAGGGGTGTGCCTGACCCTAAGATCCGTATCTATGATGTGGGCATGAAGAAGAAGGGAGTCGATGAATTTCCTTACTGTGTGCACTTGGTGTCTTGGGAGAAGGAGAACGTCTCCAGCGAGGCCCTCGAGGCCGCTCGTATTGCTTGCAACAAGTATATGACCAAGTACGCAGGAAAGGATGCTTTCCACCTGCGTGTGCGTGTGCACCCCTTCCATGTCCTCCGTATCAACAAGATGCTTTCGTGTGCTGGAGCGGATAGGCTTCAGACAGGAATGAGGGGAGCTTTTGGAAAGCCACAGGGTGTGTGTGCTCGTGTTGCTATTGGACAGGTGTTGCTGTCTGTTCGTTGCAAGGACCAAAATGGTGTTCACGCTCAGGAAGCACTCCGCCGTGCCAAGTTCAAATTCCCTGGTCGTCAAAAGATCATCGTCAGCAGGAAGTGGTGAGTCTTAACATTTTCTCTTGAGGTGCACTTCAATCGCGAACTGGTGAATCAGTTTCTTGCGTATCACTTTTGTAAGTTTTTGTGCGAGATAGTTCACAACATATCAATTACGAGGCACAAATCGGTTTCAAACATATGCCATTGTGAAATTGATCCTAAATCGGTTGATTTCAGTTCGTAGCATTGTGTGAAGTTTTTCTATTGTCGGACATGTCACTATGCTAGTTATTTATGGTGATTTATTTTTTGGTTGCAGGGGATTCACCAAGTTCGCCAGAGTGGACTACGTCAAGTGGAAGGAAGAAAACCGTTTGGTGAATGATGGTGTCACTGCCAAGGTAAGAATGGTTTCGATGTGATTTTCATCGCCTGCTCCTGTTTAGGTTTCATCAGATTACTTGGTTTTCACTTGCGTTTGGTTTAGTCTCAATTGCATCTTTACAATCAATGCTCCATTGTTTTCCGTTATTTAAAATTTATGCCTTTTGTATTGCAGCTTCTCGGATGCCACGGACCTCTTGCCCAGCGCTCTGCGGGACGAGCCTTTATTGATGCCGCTGTTGCCACACACTAGACTGGTCCAGTTAGGTCTTGTACTAGTTCATGGCTCTCTGTATTCATCCTTTACAATCAATGAACGGAATTTTGGAACACAAGTGTGATGGGGCCAAAGCTCTTCTGAAGTTTCAAGCACCTTTGTTCATCTTTCTGCACTGGCGTCAGCCTGGATTCTGACATTTCACAACTGCGCTTGGGCTGGTTTCGTAACACTTCTTAATTGGCGGTACGACATTAAGGTCGTTAGTCTATGATACGTATTCTATACACATTTACAGCTGGACGGCATATAGCTCAACTCAGAAGCTTTCTTGAACTCTTGGCCAGAGGATATGCCTGTTTTGATATTTCAATATCTCTCACCTTAGAGACCATTTACGAATTGGCTTAACCGGACAGGAGAATCTTGTGACATGTGGGAGCTTTCCTTGATATTTTTGTAATGCTGCTGAATGTGCTCTGAAGTATTCGTTCCATTTTGGGTACTACTATTTTCTCAAGAGCACGTTTATTAACTTCTGAGGTCGTATTTGATCGTTATTTAGGGGAATACTACATCGTGTGTTCCAGATACCTTAAAATTAAATATCGTTGCTAAGTTTTAATGTAGAAATAACGACGGGTTTAACTAGTATAAATGAAATAGTTAAATATCTGATCAGTTCAAAGTAAACTGTATCAATTTCAGCACTAGTTCATAACATAGATGTTGATCCAAACACTTCGTGTGGCAACACAGGCCATGTGTGCAGTAGAAGTCTTGCGATCTAGTGACATATCAAATGAAGTGATGTGTGACTTATCTCATAATTGAACAATAATAAATACTAAGGCCATGATTGTTGTAGAGCTGGTTTTCTTCCATGAATCGTAATTTTTCTTGCACTTAAACACAACATAAATTTAAATTTTCATTTTGAGATGTGCAGTACAAATGATCAGTTTCATCATTGTTGTACCAATTTCCCCTTTAATGAAATTTGCACACAAATTAATACTATTTTCAAGTAGCATACATAACTATGGCGACGTGCAATTAGAAAAAATGAAATCAAAAGTGAGACAGATGTGATGTTGCAAAATCCTTTTCAAAACTGTCATGCTTTTCTAAAGTCTATGTTCAGAAATCTTTTCACATCCTTGACAATTTAAAATATTTTAGATGAGGTTTTACCACTGGATGTCTTCAAATTTATATAACTTTAGAATTATTAAAATTTTAAAATGTTAAGGTACAATTGCGTCTTTTTTTGAATCATATTAAACGAATGGGAAGTTAGTTTCGTCAATTTTGTTCCATTTATAATCACTAAGTCATCATGCTTTGTAGGTGTTTCTTTCATTTCTTAAAAAGCATCCATAATGTAAGTGTTTCTTTCATTGAGGTGTTGCACAACAGAATAGTTTGCCATTTTTCTGTGATCATTTTTCATTTTCTTGGTTACCAGTGGATCCTTGAAAACACTCGCTATGTTGACCTTCGCAATCTTTTTTTGTTTTTAAGCATAAAAGTTGATATTTTTCTGTTAAGATGTTCAATCAAACTGGATTAGACAAATCCACCAAAATTTTGAGATTTATGAGTTTAAAAAAGTTCATCTACTCTAAAGGAATACATTCTGATGAAGACAATGGAGGACAACTGACTGCATGAGACCACTCTGAGATCGAGAAGCATAGCATATTACCTATAAAAAGTACAAATTCCAAAGTAATCGCTGGGATGCTAAATGGCTGAGTTGCTGACAAAATCTAAGGGCTGTTTGAGACTGTTCGCGGTTGTAATTGAAAGGACAGTAATACTATTCTACGAATTCAAGAGGAGGGATATCCTTGCTCCTTAGGCGGGCTATCATCAAGCTTTCTTCACCACGAACTTACAAAGATAAGAATCTAAGGGAAGTGGTAATGAATCTCATCTCATAACATTTCAAACAAAAGCGCATGCACTGATATAGACAACACATGAAGAATGAGTACAAGAAGCCAGTCTGTATCTAACACATTCCAAAACTGAAGCTGTGAAAAAAGAGAGGTTTCATCATGTCATCAAGGAAAACAAGCTCCCTTAACCTGAGAGCCAGGGGGCAGTCGGCCAAGGCCTGGTAAAATGACTTTAAAGCTGCGTGGCATCGGAGTGGGGTCGTAGTTGAATCCAGTAAGCACTACCCCTGCAAGAAGTATGGCAACAAAGATAAGTCTAAGATTATAAAAAACTGATGTGATTAAGAACTCACACCTATGAACTGTGTGCTCACCGTGGCTCTTAATACCGTTGACTTCAGTTGGTGGCACATTTGCTACAATGAGGACTTTCTTGCCAACCGCATCTTCGACGTCCATCACGTACTTACACTCAGACACAATTGTTCGTTGTTCACACCCTATGTCCACCTGCATCAATCCCAGTCATAAACAATGAATTAATCAATGAGTACTTTCCTTCTTTTAAGTAGAATAGGGACCTGGAAAGACGACGGGGCACTATGCTACAGAGTCTCAATGTTAAACGAATCACAATTTTCACTGATGCCGAAGCGTGGGCTCGGCATGTGTTCCAGACAGACGGTGTGCTATTAGTATGATAATATGATTAATGCAGATTCAAAAAAGGTTGCACTCAACGAGTTCGAAATGTGCTATCGAACATAGATCAAATAGTGACAAAAAAGACTAGCCCAGAAATATGTTTACATCCACTAACCCAGAAATGAGTGAAAAAAAATGCTCCCACCGGCGAAGGAGACACTCAAAGTTAATGGGTCAAGTACAGATCACCTCTGTCTGCAGTTGGTGTATAGTTATGTACATGAGTGAGAGATAAGGGAGAGGGGGGTTTGGAGGGGTTTTAGATTACCGTGAGCTGCAGAAATTTTCGGCTCAAAGTCGGCTTTCCACGCTTAGCCGTCATCTCCGCATCTTGCACTGGCTTTGCATCTGTCTGCACACCAACAGAAAACGATGAGCTTATATATTCTGGCTGAGCTAACTGAAATTCAAAGAGTAGAAAGATAAGACAAAATCTCCACCCGAACCCTAATCAATAACCCAAATATCGACGACCGATTCTTATGTGGGAGGTACTTACGATAAGGCCGACACGGACGTCCACTGACTCAAAAATTGATGGATCGACCTCGGGTTTCACAGCTGGACATGCCACACGGTCGGTGGTTTCTGGCACCTCTGCTGTTTCGGTGTGAGCACGAATATGTAAGCCAGGAGAGTTTACCCTTCGCTGCAGCCCCACTGTAATACCTCAAAAAAATGGGCAAAAAAATGATTAGAAACAAATTCCTTAGAGGTGGTGTAATTCTGATTGAATAAAACCTGGCAAAAGAGTAAGCAGGGTTAATATTGCAGAAAGCATAGAATGGTGTGAAGAGGCCACCTGATCTGATTGGACCAGCATGAAATAAGCGGGCGGACCCAAAGGAAGAAGCCCACGAAACGCCACAGTTTACATGGGAAGGACCCTCTGCTGCTGCTCGGCACGCAGACTGGCACAAAGTTTCTTGCACTTGGAGAGCAACAGGCGTTGCAGAGCACGCCAACGCCATCGCTATCGCCAAACCTTCTCAAGAATGTAACCTTCCCAGACAGCCTACGGGAAACAGGAAGATAACCAACCGTGTTCACTTAGACATCGCAGCAAGACGCCCACATTGCATCCCCCCAAAAACCCTTAGCTTCTAACTACTGCCCCGCAATTCGACTCCAGAATTCGGAACACGACGCCCAAGCGTCCTTCAAAAACTTCAGAAAATGAGACCCTGTAGCCTTCATCTCAAAATATACAACTTATCCTGTGCCACTTAGCTTGCAGCCTTCTCATAGCAAATCGTGATCCTGATGAGAAAGCATGCCCACGTGGACCAAAAAAATAATAATATCAGGAAATCTCCTAAAGAAAAAGAAAAAAGAGTTAGAGAAAACGCCGTTGCCTCGACGACCAGCTGTCGCTGGAAGCACATGGGACTTACAACAAGAATACGGAGACCTTGAGGCTTCACCATTTAAAGTGTGCGGATAAAAATAATTTAATTACCTATCTGAAAGAAACAAGCACCCCTAAAACTATGAAGATTTTACTCCATCGGATTTCTTAGGGTTCTCAGTGGCATTTTAGATACGTCAAACCAATGTTGTATGTAGTCGCTTCATTTTTAACTCTTCATTTTTAGACTGTACAAAATATCTGGTCGTAACGACGTAACTATGAAATGGCATTTTTCTATTTTCTTCGTAGTTGTTTGCTTTACTCCCTTTTCTCTCTTCTTGCCTTGAAGGCAAAAGGTTTCGTAAACTCACAATTTACGGGACAAACCTCGAGAAAGTGGCGACGGTAGGATGCGGGTAGTGCACGATCAAAATCGGAGAGTGCTGGTTATCCACGAAAGCAGTTTTTGAAACAAAGGACTTCATCATCAGTAGACGTGTGCACCTCATTCGACATACGTCTTGGCGTTTTTGTGAGCCGGCGAGATGCCTGCGGCAATTGTGGATGCGGGACTTGGTGACTTCGAGACAATTTTGAAGGTGGGTACCCGCGCCATATATGCCCCTGGCGCCGTAGTCTTCGAACTCGAGTTTCTGCTCTTGGGATTAGCGATGGGATTCTTTTGGAATAAGCGTGCGCAATCCGATTGAATAAGAGTGATTTACCTATTTTGCTTCACCAAATTGGCTTTTTCTTGCATGCTTGTTGTGGGCTTGTGTGTGAGACTGGAATTAGTATTGTGACGATCTTGTAGCGTGGGACTGTCACGAGTACATGCTTCTTGCAGGTGTATGTGAAACTTGTAACCTCGATTTTTATGTCCTTTTGATCTTCGTTTCTTTTTGAAAATTTGGTTTTAAAATGTTTTCGAGTCGTTCGTCGATTAGTTCCTTCCCTCGGGCTTAATTGTGTGACTTTCTTCAGATAATACTTTGGAGTATGAGTATACTTCGAATTGGTATCCGACATGTAGACAGACCGTTGTGTCGTCAAATCCGTTGGGTTGATGAAAACGATGAGAAGAAACGATTTCAATAACCCATGATTTGTGACCCTAATGCCGTACGCACATTCCATCTCCGTTTTGCTACTAAAGAAATATTGGATTCGTCCTCCAGATACGGCATTGACTCCCTTCAATTTAATCAGCCCCAGTTGCTAACTTCTGATGTTGAATTGGCGTTGGTTTCCAGACAGCTGAATTGCAGGGACCAGGTGTGCTGCTGCTTCTGTTTCTCGGTGACCGCATTGCTTCGGTGGGCAAAAGCTGGTGTCCTGGTATAATTCCTATATCTTAGCTCTCTCTCTCTCTCGCTCTCTCTCGATTACATTAAGACAAGTAACAGTTTTCTGACATACGAAATTGGTATCTGGCAATTACATATCGCACAGTACTTTCACGGTGGGCCACACCATGCATAACAATAACCGAAGCTGTGACAACATATGTGAGCAAAACATGTGGCACATACTTGTGCAGATTGTGTGAGGGCGGAGCCTATCATTTACAAACTCGTGAACGAGAGTGAGAGTCCCGTGACACTGGTGCGTGTTTATGTGGGCGATAAGCCAACATGGCGTACCTCTGACCATCCTCTGCGCTGCGATGACCGCTTCAAGCTGAAGGGTGTCCCAACCTTAATTCGTTGGGAGAATGGAGCAATCTCAGGTCGTCTGGAAGATTACGAAGCGGACAAGGAGATGAAAATCAAGGAGCTTCTGAAGTCAAGTGAGGTCCAGACCAAAACCATATAGCTGCACGAGCAGCATTGAGCCTATTGGAATAGCCTTGAATGTGGGGATTGATTGCTTTGTATGAAGATGTGAATACTATCTTTGAGTTTAGTGCGTCCACTGCTATCACAAGTGATGGTGGTCCTCCCAATCTGCTCAACCAACGAACGCATGGTAGAAGGGTAGAGTTGCAGATCTACAATATAATGAACTGGAGGGATTTCTCATGGGCTCTTTACTGAATCAGGCACGTGCGGTAGCACTTAAACAGCTCCAAAACGTGGTGGATAGCACATCCAAGTGTTGACAGAGAGATGGGACATGAAAGGGCAGTTTGGGCATGTTCTGTAATAGCTTATCAATAAGAATACTAGGCTAATTGTCTTGTCATTCACCGGAGTTGACTACACTGAGGGTTTTTAGTTCTCAATTCCATTGTTCACAGTTTGAATCGGCCTTGGGATTGCCGAGGGCTAACAGAATGCACTAGCTGTAGAGCCTGCTGCAAATTGTGCTGCACCTTTACATCTTCTAGAGTTTTTGCAGACAATTGCTTGCAAAAGTGGGACACACTGTCAAGCCTTGAGTGTTTCCAGAGTTCATGTGAAGCCAGAGGATTCTCTGGCTACCCAACAAATTATACACACACACATATATATATATATATATATATATATATATTATGTGCTTGTCAATTCAGTTTGAAACCATTTAATGTTTCACAAGCTTCTGTAGTTTAAATCTTAATCTGAAAAGTAAGTCTATCTACTTAATTAAAGAAAGTATTCATGAGTGGACAAAAGATAATTAAGAACTGGAGTTGGTTGAAAAAAAGAAAGTGATTTCACAAAGTATAATTGAAAGAACCAAAAGTAAAAGAACTCAATGTGCTTCTCTTTTCGAAATGATTTGCTATGTAATTTCATCAACCTTCTGATTGAGCTTCTTTATACTGGTGCTAAAAACGACTAACTTGATTTTGATTTAGTACTTGTGCATTTATTCCTTGTCGAATTATATGTTTTGTTGATTTCTAAAGTGTAGAAATATAGGTTTTTAATAATTTAAAAGAAAGACGTATTTCAGATGTCTAATAATATTTTGCTTGACGTAATTTTCGAACTGATTAAAACTAAAATATATAGATTTGAAATTTTAGTATTAAAAATAAATCTTAAATATTCCAAGATAAAATTATAACATATATGATTTACAAAAAAATGTTTATAATATATATACATATGTGTGTGTACATACATACATACATACATACATACATACATAAATAATAGACAATTGTTTGAGATAAAACTAAAAAGACATGTATTAAATATTCAATGAAAATTCAAAATGTATTATTCTTATATCACATTGTTAAAAAAAATTACAAAAAATAGTAAACATTTCATTGTAATCTAGTTGTTTTACAAAATTTTATTACTTATCTATTTTTAGTTTTAATGTACTGCAAAATAATTTCATAATGAACAAATTTGAGCTGAAAATTTAAATAAATATTACAAAATTCAAAATACCAGTTTGATTAAAGAACTCACAAGAAAAAAAAAAAAAAAAAAAAATGTAGGATATTGTTAATACTATGACAATTTTTGCTACTATTGATACTATTTATCATCCACCACATGCCACCATAGTTTTTTTCTTTTGCCACCACAATTTACCACCAATTTGACATATATTTTAAGAATTTGTATTTTCTTCTCGATTTTTTTTTAAAAAATAATTTTTATATATGTTTTTTTTTTTTTCAAATTATATAGAAAGTAAACTTAAATCTAATAAAATATAACTAATAAACTAATAGAAATATTTTTTTTACTAAAAGTTTTAGAATATATATATGTTTACTTTCTTATTTAACATTGATATAGGATGTGGATGGCATGTTGTCAAGGACAAAGACTCGATGAGGAAAAATATACACCAAAAGGCTATCTCGATATAATAAGTCAAAATATAAACAAGTAGGTATATTAAAAGGAAACTGGAATGGCTATTGCCGCAAGACAAGAAACTAAAGACTCTTGAACCTGGACTAGAAGCAAGAAAGGAGTTGACAAGAGTGAAGAAGCCTTCACTCTTGTCTCTATATATACTATCTAACTAGGGGCTACGTGGCGACGTTCTATAGGACCTCCAATATGTGTTGACTTTGTAGGACACATGCCTTGACTTACAAGGCAAGTTTTTCTACGTGTGGGCCACATAGTTAGCTTGATCTTCAAGCTAACAACATGTGTGGCACATGGCCAACTTGTTGACCACGTTTCTAATCCAAAAAGTCAATTAAAGACACCTATGAAGTCAAAGCAGCGTCTAGGAAGTTTCTAGGAAGCTTCTATATTAAATATTATACAATTAACTTACTTTTATCTACTTTTACTTACTTCTACCTATTTCTCTTTGTAATTATTAGCTTACATGATTATGGCCGTGACACATGTTGTGGATGATAAATTGTTGTGACACTAACTAATTGTGGTGGCATTAGTAATACCCTAAATGTATATATTTAAAATTTTATGTTTAAGTATTGATGATTATATAAATTAAAAAATATATGTATTATTTTTTGATAATTGAGATGCATAGTGTTGTTTATATATTTACTTTGCCATGTTAATTTGTAATATATAAAACGAAGAATTATAAATAATTCAAAAAATCAATAAATATGTATCTAAATGTATATATATATATATATATATATATAAGTTCTTTTAAAATTTAAGTACATGTTTATGTTTTTTTTGTGCTATATAATTTTTATTATACTTTTTAAATATCAATATTAAATTTATTTTTTAAAATTAATATATTAAAATATATATTGTAATTTTATTAATAAGGTCAAAATGAATAATAAATATTATGAAATACATGTTAATTTATTATTTACATATTAATTAATTTATATTATATTAAAGCCAATATATTTGTACATTCAAATACTTCTATTCTTCATTAACAACCAATATTTATTTTGAAAACACCCTTCATTTTATTACGAGTATATATGTATGCAAAAATCAATAGAAGTTGTATTATGAACTCTGTATTAGGTGTTACTTGATCTTCAAAAATGTAATGGTCGTAGGATAACTCGGGCTTCCGACCTTGAATCGTTCAAGCTCATATTTCCGCGGAGGAATGGTGCTGTGAACTGGATTGCTCATGCCAGCAAGGACATGGAACAGTCGTCCTCTCCATTTGCATGAGCGATTCCAGACGGAATCCGTCGTCGTCTTCGCACGGAGTCGTCCTAATTGTCGCCGGGATGCTGAGCTTCGTGTTGTCGCTTTTCGTTGCTCTCCCTTGTTGCGAATTTTTCTTCGCTCCGTTTTTCTTTTTTCTTTTTTCTTGCTGATTCGTTGCTTGTTCATCCCCATCGCACAACTTGCTGGAAAAGCATTGTGTTAATTCCTGCCCAGTCTTCTCCCGGGTTTGTGTTTTCATATTTTGAGGGCAAAGGATTCTCTTCTCTTCCACCCTTTGCAATCTCTGCTCAGCAGAGCGACGGATTCCACTCGGACATTGCGAGCGCGATGGCTTGGATGACGAAGGCAATGCTGCCATCCTGACGTTGTAGGATTGGGAATTGGTTTCAGGATCAATTGATTGATTCAATCACGGCGGGGTCTTGATTTGGTGGGCGGAGTGGAGCTGTGGGAGCTTGCTACTTCGTCAAGATGGACGAGGGCAGCGGCTCTGTGGACATGAGCGGATTTGACTACGCCTCTCACAAGACTTTTGATGAACGTGAGTTGCTGCTTTTGTGGATTGATTTCTCTTTTGCTTCAGTTGCGATTCGGTTTTGTGTGCGTGATGTAAGACACTTCTGGAGAATTGGAGTCTGGTTTTGCGGAGGGCAATTTAGTTTGATTTTTGGGTGTGTAGGGTATAAGAGATCGGCGGAAGGGCGTGCGACGCTGCAGAAGTTTATCGCGTTGCAGGTATGTTCTGAATTAGGCTACCTTGTTAGTTAGGTTGGTTGATGAGACTTAGGGTCGCCAATCCGTTGGTGGTGGGTTTTCGTGAGCTCGCGTCTGCAAGTTATGGATGGGTGCAAGGTTTGTAGAAAGTGGGTTCTAGTTCACTACTCTCAAAGAATTTAGGTGCCAGTTGGGGATTCTTTACTTCTGTTTGCCAGAAACATATTGCACTCTTTCTGGATCACTTTGTGGAGCCCTGGTTTTGCAACGGTCGCACTGGTTGGCGAGTTTGTATGATTTGTCTTTTAAGGCCTCTCACTTGGTATGAAGCATCTGGCTAATGGCTAGTGAAAGAAAGAGTAGTCAAGTAGTTTTATTTGCGATGTTTCATTTTCAAGATTATTCTCTTCAGTGTAGGATTGTACAATTTTTTCAAGAGGAGCAATATGAAAAGCTACGAGGACATGCTTGGCTGTGGAGTTTAATAAGACTTCAAAGGAGAACACTTAGTTTTGTAAGAACGTAGTGATGTTCACAAGTCTGGTGGGGCTTTTCTTTCATGTGTTGTGAGGCAATTAAATTTTGTCGCTTTGCAGGCTCTATTGCAGATCTTGAAAACCATATGGGTGTGTTTAGGAGCACTCAGGGGACACTCTCTCAATTACGAGCTGGTCGCTTCTTGTGTCTTTGGTGGAGCAGCTGTGATCCTGGGAACATTAGGTGTGCATTGTTTTACTGCTTTCCTTATTCCTTGAGAGGGTTTAGGATTCTGACAGGGTTTTACTTAGAGCTGGTTAAAATGACGTTAGTAATGGGCTTACAAGATGGTCCTTTGGTGTGACAGGGTTGAAAGGAAACTCCAAATTGCTCCGGGTCTACATCTTGTTAACAGTCATCGCTGTTGGGCTTTCTGTACTCCCTTTCGTACCAGGTCAACCTATTGGAAAGACAAGAACTTCTGCAATGCTTGGTTATGGATTCATGGGTGCTGTTACTCTTTTAGAATTGTCCTTATTACTCATCAGCCGTTTCATGTTTGGAACTTTATACACCTTGTTAATTAATATTGCGGAGGAGAAGTATCCTGCTGCTTTGAGGTTGGCTGGAAAGTATGCGCTAGATGCCGAAGAAGTGTACAATGCCCGTTGGGCCATCTCCAGTTTTTTACGTGAGATTACTGAGGGGAATTATGCTGCTGCTTTGAGGTTGGCTGACAAGTATGCGCTGGATACTGACGAGGTTTACAAAACTCGCTGGGTTCTGTCCGATTATGGGCGGGAGGCGATCCAAGAGAATCTTGCTAAATTGCATGATCGAAAGTGGGTTGTGAATGAATGTCGGACTAGAGTGTGTCAAACTCAGGAAGCCATGGATGCCCTACTTTTGTATGGTCTTGTGGAGACTGAACCTTACAGGCACGAGGAAGAAGGTGACAATGATGTCGATTCTACTTGGTGGTTCCGCTATGAAAGACTCCGCCTCTTACAACGTAAAGACAGGCTGGAGACATTTTTGGGCATGTATAGCGGCAGGTAAAGTGTTTTACACTTGCAGATCTGAACTACTTTGGTCGTACTTGTTTTTGAAGCTTTGTCTCGCATCTTCTTTGCATCTTTTTCAATGTATTTAAAGTTGCACAAACCGTCTTGTTATGAACAGATATTTTCCAAAAGAGTATGCCTATTTTTGCTCCGCGAGCTTACAACGCCTCGCATGTGAATATGCTGAAGGGGGAAGAATAGGACCTTTGAGTGTGCTTTTCAAGCGTCACGTATACTCTTTAGCTCCAGCTGTGCTGAATATTTTAGATGCACTTCCTGAGACTCTTCCACCGCACAGTTATTCATCACTTTTACCTGAAGTCACGCCTCCACGGGCTTTCCTCGTTCGTGAAGATCGTGACTGGGTGGAGAGTATGAATACCGTTGCTAGACTGAACTCTGTCAGGGATACACTGGGTCAAATGGTGGATGACGTGAAATTATTGGAAAGCACAGAGCATATTGTAAACTTGACACTCGGTCTTTCATGGCCTACAGAGGTGGAAATTACAGAATGGTACAAAAATCGAGCACGAACAATTGATAGGATAAGCGGACAGCTGGAGAATAGTTTGTCCTTATTGGACTGGGGTCAACGTAAAGGAGTTACAGGGTTAGACTCATTGTTTGAGGATGTGTCGGACCTGATTAAGGTTGTTTTGACTAGTGACAAATCTGAAGATTCAACATTGGTTTTGGACCTAGAAGAGTGGGAATCTCTGGATGAATACAAGAAGTTCCAGGTGATGCTGGAAGGTGCTCAAACCGACACTATAATGGACAGGCTCAGAGAGCAGGCTATTCCCTTTTTGCATCGGCGTCACCACCAATTATCTTCATCTTTACCATCCAATGAGTCTTCTACTACAGTGTCCTCCGTTTTGGCTACTTGGTTGGGAGAGATAGCACAGCAGAATAGGCTTGAGCTTTGTGCTGCTGTATTTGAGGAAGCTTCAAGCGGTTCGAATGGAAATGGCCTATTTGTAAACGAATCAGACATGGTAGGAGTGGCATTGAGCTGTATCTATTTGTGTCCGGCTGTGGATCAGTGGCTGTTAATGAAGACCATTTTAGCCAAGCTTGGTCACAGCTTAGACTCCCCAGGTAAGGGTGGTGGTGGTGGTGGTCACTTCCAGGATTCTCCCCGGAGAGTGGGTCTGAGGAAGGGATTAGTAAGTCGTTTTCGCAGTTCTGTTAGCAGTAAACCACCACCTGATATGGAGACTGAAGGTGGCAGTCATAGAGCTAGTTTAAATCTCGGTGATGTGAGACTTCGACAAGCCGAGGCATTAGTGGACGCTGGCCAACTTTTGTTTCAGTACGAGGTAAGAGTATATGTTTCTTGTTCATAACAATATTCCTATGTAGTATCGTTAAAACCGCATTTGGCTGATTCTTGGCTTTCCTGTATTAGTTGAATGTACCCTCAATTTTTTTTTTTAGATTCAAAAGTAAGTGTTTCATGTGATCAGCAGAAGTTTTGACGCATGTATGCTTTTTGAAGGTTGAAACAACAATGAAATTTCTGATGAACTGCGAAGAGAATGTTAATGGAGCCAAGCAGCTATTAGAGACTCTGCTGCGGAAATTTTCAAGTCGAAATCCACCAAGATCGGACAGTGAATGGATGGTTTTATGGCGTGATCTGTGTACACTACAGGATAAAGTCTTTCCTTTTTTGGAGAAGGATTATTTGCTAGCTGAGTTGTGCAAGGGTTCGATGCAAGCTGGAAAATTTTCTTTGGCCAAGAACTATTTGACGGGTACCGGAAACATGTCATTGCATCCTGACAAGGCAGAATTAGTTGTGTTGGATACTGCCCGTGACTTCTTCTACTCAGCACCGTCCTTAGAATCACCAGCTGTAAGTCCGTCTATTTTTGGTTTGAGGTTGGGGCGAAACTCTTATTTCACTTGATTACTGTTGGTGCCTTTCGCACCTTCTGATCTTTTCTTTGATACTTCGGGAGGTATCTTGTGCTCCAGATAGTCAACTGAATTGTGTGCTTTGCCTTACAGGAGGTGTGTTGAGCTCTGATGTTGAGGTTGAATCATTTTAGGTAGAGAACCCATCCCCAACAGTTACCCAAAGCCAACAATGAATTAAGGCCAGTGTTTATGCTTCGCCTATCCTAGATCACTGCTGGATTTAGGAACTGTCGGGGATGGATCCTCAGACTGTTTGTGTCGACGATAAAAATCCTTAAATAGGGAGTTTGATGTAATCTTGAATTGTTGTTGCAGATTGAGATGGCAAGGAATTGTCTCGCTCTCCTTCCAAGGAACCAGGCAGTGACAATGGAAGAAAATACAATCGAAGCCGTTACCGTGAAATTGCCGATGCTAGGAGTCTCACTCTTGCCACTGGAGTTCCAGCAAGTGCAGGACAAAATGGATGTGTTGCGAATGGCTTTATCAGCACGTCCGGATGCGTACCTCAATCTTCCCGAGCTTATGGAAGTGGCAATGCTTCTTGGGCTGAATTCTCCTCGTGATATTGCAAGAGTTGAAGCTGCCATTGCCCGAGAAGCAGCTGGAGAAGGGGACTTTGCCCTTGCCCAAGATCTCTGTCTAGGTCTTGTGAAAAAGGACCACGGCGAAATTTGGGATTTGTGTGCTGCTCTCGCTCGAGGTTCTCAAACAGAGAGTATGGATTTCAAATCACGTGCACAATTGATGGGATTTGCTCTTTCCCATTGTGATGCAGAGTCAATAGGACAGCTACTGGCAGAGTGGAAGGACGAAAGCATGCTCCAGGAATGTCGCATGTTAGGTCTCTCTCCAGCAGCTGGGATGGATCCAGAAGGAACATCAAGTCTTGAAGCTCTTTCTAGCATTATTGTATCTGATGAACAGAGTCCTGATATATTCAGACCAGAGCATAGAAAAAATGCAAGCGTTACTTGTATTCAGTTCCCTGGGCTTTTGGAGCTAAGCTCAAATGACAACTCAAGAGAGGCTGAAAGTAATGCCGACATTTGCCACGAGTTGGCAAGAGAGTGTAGCAAGCCGAGTGCAATTGCCACTGGTCTTTTAGTTCATGATTTAGCTAGTCATGGCCTCGTCTGGAGCGACCACCTTGTTGTAAAACTGGCTCAAGAAGCACTTAGTTCACGCAGCAACTACAATGATAAAGTTGGTTGCGGTTATTTGATGAACGTGAAAGATGCTCACATGGGTGCAGAGGTCTTGGAGCAAGAGGTGAGCAAACGCCATCTATACGAGGAAACTGTGCAAGTTATGCACTTGGCCCGGTTGTATGCTGCTGTGCAGGACGCAAGCTTAAGCTCAAGCCTATTCTCTGAAAGGAGGGAGATTTTGCTTTCATCCCTTTCTTCCTTAACAGGTTCGCAAATTTCAATTTTTTAGATTCCTTGTGGAGGTTCATAACATGATTTTAGAAGCTTCTCGACTTTGAAACTACTATTTTTGTTCCCTCTTACAGTTATTAAATTTCATATCACCTTTTTATGTTTTTTGTATTTTTAACTCTTTTAGAATTCCCTTAGTTGCTTCTCTGATGCTTCTTGTTAATCAGATGTTGAGCTAGTCTACTACTTTTTGTGTGCAGAATCTGACAAGCAAGGAACTGAATCATCTCGGTGGACGAATCGGAGGGTGAGAACGGAAGAAAAGCTGAAAGAGATGGGTCAAGTGAGGACACTTGAAAGAATGATACCAGATGCTGACGTTGCACGTTTCTTTCAAGGAGATCATGAATATATTACTTCCAAGGTTCTTGAATTAGTGGGCCCAAATGCAAAGAAGATCAACCTAACTGATGTTTTGGCACTTGCTGAACAATATAGAGTTGATAGATGGCAGGTAATTTCGTCAACTTTCTGTTCTTTTAATATTTTATGCTTTGTATTATGACTGTGCTTTAAGTATTTGGCCGTTAGCACATTTTCTTACTTCATTGTTTGAAAAGCTGTTGGTTCTATCTTTCTGGAGGTTAAACGAAACATCAGGTATTGTCGTAAACTAAAGTGAACACGTTTGAGTTTCAGGTGCTAATCCATCAGTTGGAATCACTGTTCTGGTCTGAATTGGTTACCGAGGATGAGGTCACACTGTTTTGGCGACAATACGGGCGGCAACTTTTGGAACGGCCAGAAGCTGTTCTTGATGAACTCATTCCTGTGTACGCGGATTTAGATGGTGTGAATAAGAAGCGTTTGTGTCAATATTTTCAAGTACTTGCTGATTGTGCCAGTGTACTTGAGAATGAAAGCGAGTACAAGAGGAAGAGCAATTACTGGGGTGTAGCTGCAAAGGAGTCACTTGAGGCATCAAGAGTAGCTGCATATCTGGATTTCAAGCTTATTGTTGGATTGGAATCTGTTCACTCTCACGCGTTGCTAGAAGTAGCACACCACGTGGATTCGTCAAATGTTGACCATTTAGCTTCTATCATAAGCCACCTACATGAATTTGCAGCGGGCGACCAGTTCCCTACTTCCAATGCTGTATATATGGCTTTTGTTGAGAAGGTATTAGGTAGTGATTTGGTCAACTCCGAGAAAGAGGCGGCATCTATCAAGCAAGTGGAGATCTTCGAGAATATTTTGGAAAGATACAATGACTGCTGTGTCTATTGTCACCTATTGTCTCCGGAGGATCTGCTCAGATTTGTTAATATCGTTCTGCGGAAGAGTATCTCAAAGTGGAATGGTGTTTATACAGAGGGTGGCCAACATGCTGCGGCTATCATGCTGCGATTGTGGACCAAAGTTTTTGGAGATGCAGAACGGTCGCTTGGGTCGAGGTTGCAGGATAATGAAGAGGATGTTTTCTTGCAACAACTGAACGCAGCACACACTTGCTGCAGGACGTTTCAGGATACTTTGGACCAGAAAATAATCAGTGGACGGCAAAGTTGGGAAGTTGAAAATGGTATCGTGAGAGAGGCACACTTATCCGACTTCGCTGGAGAACCTCTGTCCTTAATCTTTGACTCTTCAGCACATTTTACAGGGGTGAAAACTCTCGATGCTTGTATGAAGTTTTTAAGCCAAATGGTTTCAGCTGGTTGTTCTTTGAGAGCTGTGTTGGAAGTCGTGAAGTCTCTGGCGGCAGCAAACCATGTCGGTAGTGTTAAGGATGATGACCAGATTCTGGCAGACTCTCAAGATTTGCAGCAATTCATAACCAGAATCTACTCGCTCATAGTTGACTCATCTTTGGAGACCAATGAGTCGAGTCTGTTTAAAAAAGACGATAGTACTAACAAGGAGAATTTATTAGGTGCCTTGACCTCACTATGTTCCTATGGTGATGAAAGAGATTTTGAGGCCGAGGATACACCATCGCTAAACCTCCTGTCTGAGACCAGGCAGCTCGTGTGGCAACGGCTGAGGGTTTATGCTCACGATGACCAAGTTCCAACAAATAAGCGCATCTCTATATTGGAGCTCCAAGAAGCCTTCAGCATGGGGAAATTGGATGGACGAGATGGGCTTCCTCTGTCTTGGGGTGATTGGGATATATCGTCCAATGATCAAGTTGGAGGAACCAGAACAGCTGATGTATTTCAGTCTCAAAATAGCCTTGTGGCCTTGAAATCTACTGAGGTAGTTCGTCGCCTCTGGCCGGAAAGACAAATATCCAGTGAAGACCTTGCCACAGTAGATTCGGCCACTACATTGTTCACAGATCTACTAGCAGATGCATCGACGCGTGAACATCTGCTGAATTTGAGTTCTCTTTTGAAGGAATGGGATCCTATATTTGAAGCTGAAACAAGCAAGGAACAATCTGAGGTGTCTGAAGAATCAGGGTGGGGAGTTGATGAAGGTTGGGAAGAATTTGACGATGAATTGAAGATTCATGCATTGCACTTATGTTGGAAGAATCTTTTGCTAAAAATGGTGGCTGCCGGATGCTTAACAAATGTGTTACATATACTGGATGGAGCGTTGGTACATTCCTCTATTGCTATCCTAACTGAAGCTGAAGGTGATGAGCTGGTTACAAGCATTAAATCTCATAACAAATCATCTGCGCTCAAAGTTTCTCTTCTCCTCCCCTATAGCTCCCTCCGAATGACCATGCTAGCTCTTGTGGAAGATGAGCTGAGGGACAACTCTCAAACGGATATGCTAGATTCCTTTGAAGGTGGACTTCAGGGAGAACCTGCTGGGCAGAAGACCGCACTGACATCTAGCGTGGACGAAGAACTGGTTGGACTCCTACTCTCTGCAGACATTTTGCCCACAGTGGCTGATAATTCTAGTTTTCCTAGGCTCTTTGCTGCTGTATGTCGGGCTCTTGGACGTCTGGCAGGCGAACTGCAGATTCGTCAATTAGAAGAGCTAGAAGGATCTAGCGTCTCTGCCAAAGACGGCCCCCTCCTCCTCATTGCTTTCCCTTTATTCGTTGCGGAGCTTACTCGTGCTAAGTTTTATTCCGCTGCTGGTGCCCTGGTACTGCAATTCATGCGTGTGCCACCCTCCCTGGCTGTCTGGAGTGCTGCATACACAGCTCTCAAACGCTATTTGGAGGTCCTGTGCGAATTTGAGATGGATGCAGAATGGTGTATGGAGGGCAGTCGGAGGAGTTCGAACTTGCCAGTAACGATGCATCACCTTGCTAATCGAATGAAAGATATTCCACGGGCAGGATTGGCTGTGCTCACCAAGGACATGAAGCCTCTTGAGTCTACCGGATACTAACAACAGACTCGACAAGTTTCTGAATTTTTAGACTAAATTTTGGGGTCCCAGTGAGCAAGTATCTGAACTTTAGAGTACGAATCATTACTAGTGGGTAGTGGGTGTGGAGAAACATGTTTAGATTATCCATCTGTAAGCAACCACTTGTAAATCAGAATTCTAACACACCCAATCCTAAACAAGTTTGTAAACAATACAATTTACTATGTGCTTGCTTTACAACCCATAGCAACCTGCATCACTTCGGCTGTAAAACCGTGCATCCTTGAACAGACTTCCGAAGTAGAAGCGTTACTTGATATTGTCTGAATAGGCTTAAGTTAAGAAGGATACAAAGAGTCACTTTTCCTCAGAATATCTATCAGCTGCCTGGGGTTGATACAAGTTAAGATGGAGGTAGCCAACCACCTTTGTCCATATGTAAAATCAAGCAAGTTAAAGGAATGAGCAAATAATTTATGTAGTTCATGCATACAAAGTTCCAATATATATTCACAACTAGATTAGGTGTAAGTAGTGTGGTCGTGGTCTGTGGTTCTAGTGTGAACTAAATGGCCTGTGGTTCAAAGAAAAACATTCCAATTATATGAAACGAATTGCTATAATGGACAGCACAGTTTTGTAGTTTTTAGAGTGCAACAAAAATATCAAGAATTAGGATTTGGCATAGCCTCAGTTGTGCACAAAAGCTTGGTAGTTTGTTTGAGTGTTTTTATTTTATTTTTTATTTTTTATTGCAGAGTAAATTTAACTAGATGTAGTTTGATTTTATTAAAACTATTTGTTCAAATGGTTGGTCGTGAAATTATTGTTGACATTGATGCAATTCAGGTGAAAAATATTTACTTGTAAAAATATAAAATTATTGCTTACTTCATAGATAGAGTATGATCTTTGAAAGAATTTGGAAAATTAGATATATGTGTTAGAGGCATCAAAAAGGATCTAATAACATTGCAAAGATGCATTAGCAAGAGATTTTGTTACTTGAAATATGAATAAAAGAAAGTGATGTAAAAAAACCTTCATTCCATCATCTTGTAGAGCTAATTATGGAATTATATATTTCTATTGTAGATTCTAAAACTTCATTTCAAGGAAATATAGAAAAAATACTTTATTTAGCTTAAGCACACTAAAAAGTTTAATATGGATCACTCTAAAAAAATATATCAAATACATTTAGGTCAATTGCCCCTTAAGTTGCAATTAAGTTGGATGAAGTCTTTGGAATTGGTCCAAAAAAGTACTAGGATTTGGAATTTCAAGTTTTGTATGGAAATTTAAGGTGATGATAGATAGAAACTTGAACGCATTTTAATTATTATTAAAATAAAATAAAATAAAAATAAATAGTTAACTACAAGCATTTGTTGATTTGATGTTGGTTTTATTTTGAATAAAATTGTCCTACATTAATTGCTTTTGAAGGAATTACACTTAAGAAGAATAGATTTTTTAGCAAGAGACATAGGAATTGAATTGAATACTTAATATAAACAAGGTAAGCGGGAATAAGTAACAAAGATAAGAACCAATTTTATCAACGAAATAGGGTCCATATAACAAAAAAATTGGCTTTAACTTGGTGGTTAATAAATATTTTAGATACTAATAGAACCACAATACAATCCCTAGATTGGAGATCCAAGTAAGTACATTGAAATACCATATCAATACATATCCTAATAGTGACCAAATGGACATTAATATAAAAAGACAAGAAATATTCAAAGCGTGAATAGATAATTGTAAACAAATCAATTATATTGATGATAATATTTAGAAGACAAAAGTACACCAACAAATGTAAAGGGAAACAAATAGGGAAGTTTAATTTTGTGAACAAACATCTTCAATTTAATATGAGAATAAGAATTCTTCAACTCTAACAACAAAAAAATTGAAGATTAATTGTCAACAATGATAATATCTTTGATAGCATCTTTGATGTTTGACTTGAAATAATAGCAATTGATTTTGATATCATATATATAAGTGGTCCATGTAGCTGATAGTAATGTAGTTGCTATCAATAGAGTCATTATGTAAGAAACATCAAGAACATACTCACAACTATCTAATTTAAAAAGAATATAAGAATAGAAATAAAGAGAATATACAACTAGATATAAAAAAAACAACTCCAATTTTAAAATCATTTTAATAATAAAAGATACTATAGTGAGACTCAAGAAATAAGAAATTCTAAAAACATCCTTACAATGTTAAGGACATATTCCTTAGAACTTTCTAGAGAGAAGTTTCTAGAACCTTCTAGAAAACAAGCCTTTGGAACCTTCTAGAAGAGAAGCCTCTGGAACCTTTTAGAGAGAAGTTTCTAGAAGCTTCTAAAAAGGAAGTCTCTAGAACCTTCTAGAAGAGAAGTTTCTAGAAGCTTTTAGAAAAGAATCCCTTGGAACTTTCTAGAAGCTTCCTAGTTAATAGAAGTAGCTCGAGAAGTTTCTAGAACCTTCTAGAAAGGAAGCCTTTGGAACCTTCTAGAAGCTTCCTAGTTAATAGAAGTAGCTCGAGAAGCTTCCTAAGTAGGAGTATATATAGGGATCGAGGCTGAAGAGTTCTTCAGTCTCAACAACACATCTCTTGGAGTTCTAGCTCACCTTTCTGGTGTTGTTCTTGTACTCATCTGTTTAATCTAGTTCTGTCACTTCTTCTTGAACTTCTTGTTAGATTTCAAGTCTGTATTTTGTGTCCGTGACAGTTTGTCGAGACTACACTAACTTGAGATATCAGAGCTAGTTCTTTCTTAGTAGAGTGTAGATTATCCCTCTACTTGAAGGTATACTAGCATTTTTTAGAAGTTGCGGATTATCCTCCTCTAAACTGATACTTCTTCTGTTACAATATTGGAGTCTTATTCTTCTTGGAGAGAGTGGATTATCCCTCTTCTTGAATTTCTTAAGGCATTTTATAGGTTGTGGATTACCCTCCTATAAACCAATATTGCCTCTTATAGGGTCATTTTTGTCCTTCTTTTAGAATGGCCGGAGGTCAAGACATTAGTATGACAGAAAGTTCAGAGTCTAAGTTAGATGCTATTATGAATGCCCTCGCTACGTTATCACAAAGAACTGCAGAGATTGAAGGAGTGGTGGCAAGGCTTCATAATGATGGAGTATCTGGGATAGCACAATCTAAACTACACTAGCCTCAAATTTTGGCACTTGGAGAAACAACTTTACTTCAGGTTCGACAAGAACCACTAGTTCTACAACATAAGGAGCCTCGAGTTAGCCTTCCAGATAAGTTTGATGGAACACGTTCCAAGTTTTGAGGATTCGTCAATTAAATCAGGTTGATAACAGTTTTACAGCCCGAACGATATCCAACGGAGGAGTCATGTGTTGGGCTTGTTGGAACCTTACTTACGAGACAAGCTCTATCATGGTTTGCTCCTTTGTTTGAGAAACGATCATCCATATTAAACAACTTCGAAACCTTTTTGGAAGCATTTGCGGAAGCATTTGGTGAACACGATAAGGTTCGATGGGCTACAATAAAGATCCGGTCGCTACGACAAGGGATGCGTTCTACATTAGTCTATGCTTCGGATTTCAAGCAATTAGTATGCGACATCAATTGGGATGAAGAAGCGTTGATGAGTCAATTCTATTGGGGTTTAAGAGATGATGTGAAGGATTTGCTGTTAACTCTTCCTAATCCACGAACGCTCAATGAAGCCATTAGCCAAGCTGTGAAGTGCGATAATCGCCTATTCCAACGTTGCCAAGATCAACGCTCAAGACAACATACAATTCGCCATGCTCCAACTATGTTGGCAAGCGGTGTGAATCTGCATTCAGAGGTGGAAGACATACAAATTGATGCGGTACGTATCAAATCTCTTACTATAGAAGAAAAAAAGCGACGTATGGAGGAAAATTTATGCTTGTATTGTGGTGGAGAAGGCCACAAAGTCAGAAACTGCTCCAAAAAGTAAAATCGAGGCATACTCAAGACTAGGGGAGTATTTGTTCAGGAAAACAAGGATGCCCAGCCACAGTAGGAACCGTGCGGCTGGACAATGAAATATCCCAACAACAATCAGGTTCCTTTCTTTCTGCCCAACCCGCACTTTGTTTTACAATCCTCTGTTTATCGGCCCTCAAAAACTGAGAACCTTAGCACTACTAGACTCAGGAGCATCTGCTTGTTTTTTAAACGAAGAATTTGCAAAGCGTCATAAGATCCCTTTAATACAAAAATCAAAACCTGTTCATGTTGAGGTCATAGATGGACGACCTTTATTGTCTGGTAGCATCACCCATGAATCAAAACCTATAGAAGTAACGTTTAAAGACCATAGTAGTCATATTATTTTCAATATTATTAGAACCCCATCAAATCCTATTATTCTTGGTCTTTCTTGGTTGAAAAAACATAATCCATTGATAGATTGGAGGTTGCGGAAGATGACTTTTCTCACAAACCCACCCAAGAAAAAACCTAGTAAAAAACCTTGAAAAAAGAAATCCTTATTCATTGGAGCAAGAGCGTTTATAAGATCATCTAAGGAAGGCACTTCATTTGTCATTTATGCGGCTCCAACTACCGAGGAGAAGATCTCAACAGCAAGTATACCAGAGCAATATAAAGATTTTGAAGACGTGTTTCAAAAGAAGAATGCCGACATACTACCGGAACACCGACCATATGATTGTGCCATAGACTTGCAAGAAGGAGCACAACCGCCTTTTGGCCCAATCTACAATCTATCACAAACGGAGTTGGCAGAGTTACGAAAGTACATCGATGAGAATCTAGCCAAGAACTTCATTCGTCATTCAAAATCATCAGCTGGAGCACCCATCTTATTTGTGAAGAAGAAAGATGGATCATTACGGATGTGTGTGGACTATCGAGGCCTCAACAAGGTAACAAAGAAAAATCGTTACCCATTACCCTTGATTTCTAGTCTCTTAGAATAACTTGGACGTGCGAAGATCTTTACAAAAATTGATCTAAGGAGAGCTTATAATCTCGTATGAATCAAGGAAGGAGATGAGTGGAAGACAGCATTCCGTACAAGGTATGGTCATTTCGAATATAATGTCATGCCTTTTGGTCTTACCAATGCTCCAGTGGTTTTCCAACATATGATGAATGACATCTTTTGAGAACACCTCGACGATTTTGTTGTCATCTACTTGGACGATATTCTAATATTCTCTAAAAACGAGGAAGAGCATGAGGAGCATGTTCGTT